ATCTTGTGAAACGACTTGATGGCATTACAGAGGCACAGTTGTAGGTATTGGAAGTTCGGTCCAAAGTAGATCTTCTGGGGATGGCCAAAGGGGGAACATCCGACCTAAGTGGCACATGGCAGCTGAGCTCCTTGTAGCTGGGTCGTGACCCACTTGCAAGACCTTAGCCAAACCTGACGTGAACTCCATAATACTAGGGTCGTAGAGGTCCATTCCTGAACGTGCCATATGGCCTTTCACATTAATGATGTGCTATTATTATTTTTCTATCTATTATATCTGTGCAGAGTAGGGAATGGAGTCCTCCGATCGCCACACGACTTGAATTTATCTATCTATCTCTATTGTAAATGCCGGGCAAGTCGCCAGTCATAGAGAAATGGGATCCCCATGCATCATTGCATGCTAATAACACATGAGTGACTATATAAGAGAGGTGAAAACTTGCATTCATGCATCATATGCATTATTATTAGGGATGGTTGAATGCTTGTGAAATTGACTATGATTGTGATTACATTTTTCTCCCCATTATATGCTTGAACTTTGTATGATGCTGAGTGAGAATGGTTGAATGGATTTGTGACTGTGATGCCGCCTTCCTTGGGGTTTGGCTATGATTGTTGTTTGTATTTGGAGAACTCACCCCTGTGTTTGTGTTGTTTGTATCGCTTTTCTTTTATTTATATAGATGAACAGGAATAAGGTGAAGGTGTTCATCCTTCCCTCTAAGGATGACATATGGGTGTTTGACTCCGTGGCCCAGTAAAGCGTCTTCCGCGGATTTGCCCGAGTGATTCATGGAGTCGATAGTGGAGGCTCATGGATTACCCAGTATACTGCCGACACACCCATCGAGATTGTCTTTTCTGTACCTCCTGGTGACACTCAATTATCTTTCCTCGCCTTGTTTGCTTCTCCCACACCCATGTCTGTAGACCCCCGTACACCTACTGCTACACCTGCACCATTCTCTTTTATGTCCCCCACTTCTCCACCCGTGCCAATGGAGAGGGATATCCATGTGGTGGAATCCTCCATTAGGTATACCACCATGCCCTCTTACATGCATCTTGCACACCCGTCTACTTTGGTTTCACCTGCTGCTACCCGTTCATCCCCTCACCCGGTTGGATGGATAGAGGAGGATAGTGGAGGTTCTGTGGCTGCAACTCCTAGTTCCGCTTCCCCGACATCATCTGAGGAGTCTGACCCTATTGAGGATTATTCGCCTCTTGATTGATGTTATTTTTAGTTATGTTGTAGTGGGACTACTCTTAGGGAGTTGAGTCTATTTCTATCTTACCTATGTTGTATCCGAACCATGTTGACCGTACTGTTGAACTATGAACCTATCGTTTCCGCACATTATATTTAATATATTTGAGGTATCTTCTGATGATGAGTTGTGATGATTTGATATGAGTATATTATTGATAGTGAGTTATAGATTGATGAGATGAGAAGATATATGCATGTTAACTCTCTTCTTGAAATAGAACTATTATTGCAAGTTGTGTATGTGTCTGAAGAAAGAAAAAAAAATAATGACCAGATTTTGGTATTTTCTAAATTATCATGTTATAAAGTAGTTATCAACAATGTAGTGAATTAGGTCGCTACATGTAACAAAGAGGACAAAGCAGTAGCTACAATGGGTGTAAAAGTGGAGCCTAAAATTTGATCGCGAACTTGGCAATACTTTGCAAGTAAACCATACAAAGTTAGTAACAAAAAATGTTTGACAGTTCTCTAATTCCATGGCAACAGTTGTAACCAGAGGCAAAAGTTCATTGAAATCATGAAGAAGACCACTCATATGGCCCAAATAGGTTGACAGAGTGCTATCAAATTTTCAAGCCACAACAACATCTAGTTTGACATATTCTATATAGACTTTGTATGTCGTTAGTGTAAAGTGACTTGTCTTGTGACCAAACTGATTCACACGTATTATGGGAGCAAAAAATATGCTTCACAGAGGGATGAATGGTGGACTTGATGACACCACAAAGTTAAGCATCAATCTTACTTCATTTAGTACGTTCAATTACATCTACAGTTTCTTCTTTGGTAGTGAGATGGTCCAGATAATCTTGATCCTTGAGCCAAAGTTTGATGTCAGATGCCCAAGAATCATAGTTACTACTATCCAACTTGTCAGTAGACAGCAGAACGGTGATGAAGTTGGTGAAGATCGAAACTTCAGGTTTGGGAGGAGCTGAAGTTGCCATAGGTCATCCAAGAAGAGAGAGAAACACAACTAAACAGTGGTAAAAATAAGATAAACAACAGTGGTGGGGGTGAGAATTGGTCAAAAAAGCATATCGATAAATTCACCAACGGTGTGAACAATGTGGCCCAAAAGGTTACCAACGTTGAACAGTGTTGCTAGAAAAGTCGTCGACGAGTGAATAGTGACAGCCATAAAAATTACCAAAAACCAAAGACACATAGTTTCTTAAAAAAATTACACCTATAAGCAGTGGGCCCACTAAAAAAGAACGGATTTAGATTTCCTCCTTGTCAGGCTCTTGATTTCATGTCAAGAAACATATAAGGGGATTTTAAGTCCAAAGAACCCCAAAATAACTATTCCAAGGTTTTTTACCCGTACAAACTCATCTTCAAGCTTAGAATTCACAAAAAAAGGCTCTAACATAGTGAAATTATCATATTACCCCTTCGATTTGCCAAAATTGTAGTTTATCCCTAAAATAGATCAAAATCATATGTTGACCTCAAAATTCATTATAATACTTGGAAAATCATTTTGGTATTGAAAATCATCTTAGGCTTTCATAACAACTTTGAACTTAATTTCATAAGGTCAAAGCATTGGAAATTACCATTTTACTCTTGAGAGTTCATAAAATAACCCTTAGGTCTAATTTCCACACATAATGGTAAAATTCCCAATTCTTGGTCCCTAGCCTAAGTTTTCATGAGGATCCCAATTCCAATGTCAAAAATTGCATTTGAAAAACTTAACATGTCTTAATGCATGGGGTCGAATTGCTTGGTCTAAAAATCCATAATTTGGTTCTCTTGTTACTTAGAAAAATTGGACATAGTTTAGCCTAGTTTTTATTCTTAGCTCTTGCTCAATGCTTAATCAATCATCCAAGCATTTCCACACTTAAAAATTTATCTTAGAATCAACACCAATTCAGCCAATACCAACAACCAATCCAATTAATATGCCAACATAACCACCGTAACAACTACACCATTGACAATTAACTTGATAGAGTAGTTAGGTAACTCACCTAGAAGCTTGAACATCAATTAATTGATGATGATAATGTCCCTAGAGAATCGGTGGAGCAACGTGATCAACATAGGCTTATCCTTGAATCTTGTAGTGTCCTAGGCTTTTCCTAGTAAGCTAGAAATACATAGAACTATGGTTAATAAAATTCCTATTGAATGGGATCTTAGATTTGATCAAGGACATAGAATACTTATGTTAAGAGTTTGAAAATTTAAGCTCTTGATGATGGAATTCCTTGGCCTTAAAACCGTGGACATATCAAGCTTGTCTTGAATGTCTCTACGCCACTTCTTGTCTCCAAAATCAATGGAAATGAACCTAGCTTCAAGGAGTGATTCTTAGGCTTTATTCTTGATACAAATTGAAGGCTTAAAGATGGTGAAGGGTGGCGGTTTTGATGAGTGCCATGAGGCTCCTTATTGTTGTTGTTTATGAGCACTTGTTGTAATCTTATTTTAGTAAGCTTTTCTAACCATAAAATTGTTGCAATCCAAGGCCCATTTATAGGCAAGGAGGCCGTGACTATGAGGGCATAATTGGAAGGGAATTTTCACTTTCCATAATGCCAATAATGCCCTTGAGCTAAATGGTAAGGTACTTAGTTGGATTCTAACCACACTTGGCTAGTTTCATAAGTAAGGTAACTAATTAATGAAACTTAGTTAGGCTTTTAGTTCCAAATGAACTAAGTTGTCCCTTTCATTCCTTAATGACTCATAAATGTATGCTTATCAACTTATCTCTTAATTAAATGCATGCTTATCTCTTAATAAAAATCTTAACAAAATATGTATGTTGTTATTATGCTACTATCTTAGATATTTATAATTTTTTTTTTGGGGTAAGATATATGTTTTCTCAAGGAGGTTCACGGTCAAGGGTTCTCATGATGCATCTTGGCTGAAAAATTACTTTTAAAGGGATTGTCTACTTGCTTGGGGTATTTTTGGTGCCATATGTCGCGTTGTAATTCTTATCCTGTTTGTTGTGGTTAGATGTGGGTTGAGCCTAAAAATCTTCCCAAATCCATCCAATATATTTATGTGTGTGTTAGAGTGAGAGAGATAGAGAGATAACCAACATAAACATAATACATAATATAATATACACATATATATCAAGTCAGCTCAATAGTTAGTAAACCATACATAGTACAATTTTAAGTTCGACTAATTCAATGAATTATCATAAAAACTATTTCTCCTAAAAATTTAAGGTGTTAGATAGTAGCATCTGAGTTATAGTATACTCTTATATCAATGAACTCAAATAGTTATCTTAACTCATGAACTAATCATCAATTTAGCTTCGTTAAAATATTAAAGAATCAAGATAAAAATAGCCCACAAGAGTTGACCTACTTTGAGTCTTAACATTTTTCATTCTTATCCTATTTGTTGTGGTCTTGTGTTTTTTTTTTTTTTTTAATCATCACATACACACACTTCATTTTGCAAATCATATCTTAAGTTTGGATACACAACCCATTGCTATATGATTAAACTTTATGCCTCAACCACATTATGGTCCTTGATGAGGGTAATACTGGTTCCCCTGTGCTAAGTGTCAAATTGGGATTGGCCTCAAGCTCGTAGCCCAGCCCCATATCAAGTCCGCACTTATTTTCAGCCCACCTAACTCAGCTATCTATAGCCCCCACTTTGTCATTGTGTTTTACTATAGTACATTAAATATATAACTGATCTTTCTACCCCCATTATTTGCCGGGCCCCTTGATCCATATATATCGAAAATAATTAGGTTGGGGCCCACAACCTGGACTGTGCCCCACCATTGTCACTGAGTGGGTTGCTTCCTTCCCTTCTTGGTGACTTGTTCATGCCCTTCAATTCCAAAACAAAATAGAGCACAAGCATTAGGCTACACAAATCTCTGCATCTCTGAACTCGGCCCATTTTGATAAGCAGGTCAGTAGCTCTCTTTCTCTAATATTTTTGGTGTTATTGCATCGTAGAACATAGAACTAGGGAAGATTCTTATATATATACACACACACTTTAGAGCAGTGGTCTGTTTACGATATAATACTTAGGTGCATATCTTACACCTTTAATAACTCTCACTTACTTGTACTTTTTCCAAAACTCACATCGAGAAGGAAAGTTGATATGCTATAGATCATCTCTACAAAATTTTACACTAATCCGGAAGTTTAGCTATAATTCAACCATTGAATAGACAAAAACTATATAGTATAAAAGAAAGGTAAGTATTTATGTCAAGTTTTACACATGTGCCAACAAATCACTCCATATTAAGTTATCCTCTTCAGAAAAAAATGTTTGAGGAGCGTAAAATTTTTCTTTACTTTTGGATGGTTTGAAGAGTATAGAACTTTTTTCATTTTTCTTCTGAATAAAAAATTAATGTGTATTTGAATGTAATATTCCACGATTTTCTTTTTTTACTTAAAGATTCCTTCATTTTATTCTTTAAAAGTTTGATTCTGTGACTAGCCTAATTATTTTTTTTGCTAATTTGATTGTAGAGTCTTGCTTCATTTATTTTGTACTCACCTGAATTTGTTTGACCTGCAAGATGGTTATTATTATTATTATTATTATTATTATTATTATTAATGATTGTGCAAATTATCCATTGTTGAAGGATGGATTTCATAGCTGAAAAAGTTATTGGAGGGTTGAGCTCTCTCGCTGTGAAAGAGCTCGGAATCATATGTAACCTCAGGGATGATAAACAAAAAATTGAGAGCATAGTCTCTTCAATAACAGCAGTGCTCAAGGATGCAGAGGCAAAGGCCAATCAGCATCAAGTTAGGACTTGGGTGGAGGAGCTCAAAGATATACTTTTTGATGCAGACGACTTGTTAGATGATTTCTCTACTGAAGCTTTGAGAAGGAAATTGATGAGAGGAAGTAAGATGATGAGAAAGTTGAAAACTTTCTTCTCCAAACAGAATCAAATTGCCTATGCTTTCAAAATGGGCCATAGAATGAAAGAAATCAGGAAGAGGCTCGACGAAGTTGCAAATACTAGGCAGCAGCTTCAACTGCATAATTACCCTGTTGAGAATCCAGATGCATATAGGCAAAGGGAAACCTTCTCTTATGTGAGGGAAGATGAAATCATAGGGAGAAAGAAACAAAAGAATCGTCTTAAAGGCTATTTATTTGATGCCAATGTAACAGATAATGTTTCTGTGATTTCCGTAGTTGGGATTGGAGGATTAGGTAAGACTGCGCTTGCTCAGTTAGTGTACAATGATAAGGCTGTCCAACGATATTTTGATCTCAAAATGTGGGTATGTATCTCCCATGAATTTGACATATGTAAAATAGCTCAAAATATTGTTAGGCAAGCCTGTCAAAAGGAAAACAAAAATAATGGTGGGCGAGCACAAAATATTCCTGGGCAAGCCGAAAATATTGTTGGGATCGAGGAGGCGCAACAAAAACTAAGAGACAAAATTCGAGGGAAGAAATATTTACTAGTGTTGGATGACGTGTGGAGTGAAGATCGTGAATTGTGGATTCAATTGAAACGCTTATTGATGGAAGGAGGACATGGTAGTAAGATAATTGTTACCACACGTACTAACACAGTGACAAACATAATGAGCGCATATCAAGAAGTTGAATTGAAAGGTTTAGATTTCGAAAGATCTTGGAAGCTATTCTGTCAAATGGCATTTGATGAGGGAACAGAACCTCATAATTCAGAATTGGTAGACATTGGAAAGGTCATTGTTAAAAAATGTGGAGGAGTTCCCCTTGCCATAAGAAGTGTTGGTAGCCTCTTGTTCTCTCGAAAGTTGGAGTATAATTATTGGCTACATATCAGAGATGTTGAGTTTCCAAAAATTGAACAAAAGGAGGACAAAACCTTAGCAGTTCTTAAGTTGAGCTATGATTATCTTCCCTCTTGTTTAAAACACTGTGTGGCATATTGTTCATTGTTTCCAAAAGGTTATCGGTTTGAAGAATCTCAACTCATTTGGTTGTGGATGGCGGAGGGATTTATTCAACTCTCAGATGACACTAGATGTGAAGAAGATGTTGGACATGAGTACTTCATGAATTTGATGTCAAAATCTTTCTTTCAAGATGTCAAAAGGGATGTCTTCGGAGAAATATCGTGCAAAATGCACGATCTTATGCATGACTTAGCACATTTGGTAGCTGGAAATGAATATGCTGTTCTCAGAGAAGGAAAAGAAGCTGACATAAAACAGAGAACCCGCCGTCTGTCATGTCATTTTCCCTCAATTTTTGCTAGTAATGTATCATCTTCTTTGACAAAAGGAGTTAAAATAAGGACTCTTCTTTGCACTGAATATTACACTGAAAATGATTCAGGCTCGTCAGCTTTTGGTTATGTTTTAAACCTGAAGTGCTTACGTACACTAAAGCTTTTTAATTTGGACATTGAAGAAATTCCAGAAAGTATCAAAGAGTTGAAGCATCTGAGATACCTTCAACTTTCATATTTTCCCTGGCTGCAGAAGCTCCCATCGGAGATTACTGGCTTACCCAACTTGCAAACTCTATGGCTCGTTGGATGCCCCAAGGTGAAGGAACTACCATCAGATGTCAATAAACTGATAAATCTCCGGCACCTTTCGATCCTTGATTACCCAACTTGCCTAGAATGTATGCCGCAGGGTTTGAGGGAGTTATCAAGTCTCCATACTCTAATGCCATTTGCAATGGGCCCTACCGACAGCGTTAGCAGGCTAAGAGCACTGAGTGGTCTAATCAACCTCAGAAAACTATATATCACAAGGTTGAATTTTCTGCGCCAATGTGCTCGAGATGTTGACAAGGCAAAGGTACTTGTTGCGAAAGCACATTTGCAAGAGTTGCGATTATGGTGGTCAGAATTTTACCAAGGGAACGAAGATGAAGAAGCTGTACATAATGATGAGATAATTTTACAAGGCCTACAGCCGCATCGCTCAATCAAAATCCTAGCAATAACTGGATTTTCCGGCACAAGTTTGCCAGACTGGATTTGGGGTCTCTCATCACTCGTCCGTCTTGAGCTGTGGAGTTGTGTGTTTCTGACTTCACCATCTGAAGGAATTCTGAACCTCAAATCACTACAAAATCTCGTAGTAATCGGGTGCCCAATCTTAAGCGACAGATGGAGAAGAGAAGAGTTGAGGCTTGCTCACATCCCCAATGTTTTTATGGACAGTTACATACAACGAGGATCAACAGCGCTCTCGCCTCCGCAATGGCTTTGACATTGAGGTAATTTCCTCTTTAACTCCATGCTTAAAAGTTTCTTGGAAGTCCTTACTAAGTATTTATATTTTAAATTTTCATTTTCATTCTAATCGCAACATTTTAGGTATTTGGATTACTTAGATATGTTTTGATGCATGGATATATGGATTACTTGATCTTATATGCTTCATTGGCTCTGTATTTTCAAGTGTTGCTTCGAACTACTTTTTGGGTTGCATCTGATGTGGTTGCTTTGAATAATGATTTTCCATGTGAGTAGAAATCAAAACCTGAGTGATAGCATCTAGTATAGGTAACATCTACTATAGAAATCAAAGTTGTGAGTTTTCAATTCAGAAACTTCAACTTCTAAGTAACTTCTCTATTCTTAAATATTATTTTCTTCTAATATCCTAATTAATTGCGTTTATTTATAGGACGAGTGTACTCCGATCTTGGAAGGGGTTGATGATGGGACCAATTGATGGCTCCACACATGCAAATGTGACGACCAAGTGAGATGCAATTCTGGTTTTTAAACCAATAACTTTTCTGTTTCAATCTTCTTGGATCTTGATATTTAAACTAACGTAAACCTTCTATGTCAATGCGACTTTTCTGCACTCATTATCGGCACCATGGGCTGGATTGTTGAGCCCATCGAATCCTAAAGAAGATGCGGGACAAAATTAAGCCAGTAATATTTTATTTTTGTTGTATGTTTGATGGCAGTCACTGTCTGAACTGCAATGTTTTGATGTTTTGGCCAGAGATTTAGTTCTTGTTATTTGTTAAAGATTTGAATATCTGTATTAGAAATACTTGTGTATTTTCATTCATAATATCTTTTTTTAAATTTTTATTTTTGTCTTTATTTTTTTATATTTTTACATGGTGAAAAATTTGTGTATTCTTGTTAGAAATATTTAGATAGTGATTTTAGAAATATGTGTGTATCTTTATTTATTATATCTTTTTTTTTTCAGATTCTGTTAAAAATGTTTGTGTGGATGTGTTAAAAATGTTTTCATATTCATATAGGAATGCTGGGGTAGTGGTGTTAGAAATGTTTGTGTATGGTTGTTATTTATTATATCTTCTTTTGCATTTCCATATTGATTTTTGAATTTATTTTATTTTTTATTTGTATGTGTTGAAATACCTGTGCAGTATTGTTAGAATTGTTTGGGTATTTTTGTTGAAAATATTTATGCATTCAAAGAGAGAGAATAAAAAAGGAAAAATGAAAAAAAAAAAAAACCACAATGTGTGTATTATTTTGATGGCTAGTTTAGCGATAGCAATAGGTAAAGTATTCGATGGGTATCCTCAAAATTTATCTTCAACAAGTAGAGTATTTACCCGTTAAATAGATACAAGTATAAATATAAAAAAATACCTACAAATTTTAATGAGAATAAATGTGGATATGAGTACCTAAGTACTCACCTTACCTCATACCAGCATTATATATATATATATATATATATATATATATATAAATTATTAATTATGCTACTTATATGAGGGAAGTCTTAACCTAAAAATCTATGATGAGAGAGAATGAAAGTTAGTATTTTATTGGCATTACCAAAAAGAAGCCCATGATTAGTACACAAGCTAAGTCACTTAGAAACACCACTTAACTTTGCAAGCCTACTTTGAAACCATCTTATAAGATAACGAACCTCTTCGATCAAGCAATATGACAAATTGGACAAGATTTCGGCATAGTCCCTCTATACTTTCATTATTCCAAAAATATAATAGTTTGTCCAAATATATTTATAATTCAACCAAAACCAACCAAACTCTAACATAATTATAATATCCACACTAAAATGTCTAACACATATTCAAAATGAAAGTTTAACTACTAAATAACTGCAGAGTGTCCAAACAAAAGAAAAGAAAAAAATATATCAAGGCCACCAAGACAATGGAGACCTACTAATAGGGATTCTACTAGGATGGATTGACGTTATCAATAACCTATAGCTCTGCTACTTGATGATATGTGAACATTAAATAATAGGGAAGGTCAGTCATACAGACTTAATGAGGACCAATAACCATAATGAACATGAAAGAGAAGTAAATAATGCACGGGGTGGTTTGAATTATAGGACTCACTTAAAGTATATCATATTAATATATATCAAAATTTAATAATATTAGTTTTCTAAGGACATCATTAAGGTCGACATTGTATAACGTTATAAGAGTCACTCATAGAAGAACCAAAGTTCAAGACATATCTGCTTCGTTGATAGCCCTCTCCTCCGATAAAATAAAATTTCCAATAACTTCTTTCACACTTTTGAATACCAATAATATTTTAAAGAGGTTCAAAATTAAATTTAACAACAAAGTTCTTTGATCTATATTCAGAGCTCAGAAATACAAATTCCCTAAAAATAAGAACCTGCCAAAACTTAACAATTCTATATGTTTAAGTTGTGGGCATAGTTTAGGAATTCAAATAGGAATCTATTCTCCAATAGTTATCCCTTTCTCTTGAGAGCACTATCTCTAATTCCAAAAATTCACCCAAGGATATCTATGTGAAAGGAAAAAATAAATGGGTTACAAGGATTTTTCTAAAATCCCAAAAGGATGAATTAAAGAAAAAGAATAAGTACTCAAAAGAATAAGGATGAATTAAGGCGACATAGTGGGTTAAGGAAGGTTGCAGCGGCACTTAGATGATTGGATGGGAAACGGGGAATGCCCCCTTTTTATTCACGTAATTTGTGCACCCTACCTCCCTCTCTCTCTCTCTTTTAAATGAAACTATATTTAGCTAGGTCTTCACTATAGTTATTGGTAATTATATCATAAAAGTTACTTTATAACCTGTCCTACCGAGGTGCATTAAGAGTGTAACTTATAGAAAAAGATCTAACATAATTATATTGTTATTTCTAATTATCTTTATTGTTCTAATTTTATATAATCTTGTTTAAATAATTTTTTGCTTGCAATTGAGCAAATAAGAATTTAAGAAAACAAGAACCTAACTCACTTTTAGTTTTTAGTTTTAGAAAGTTTTTGCGTATTCTTTTATAAAATTTGTATTAAGATAAATATTTTACTATTTATTTTATGTAATATCACATAATTTTATAAAATTATGTGATATTATATTGACTTGGTTAAATAAGATTTTTTATTTAAGTTTTTGTTTTGATATAGGTAATAACAAATGGAAAATGTATGTGGTGTAACTCCTTCAAATAGAAAGTTAATGTTTTAATATACACTTAACACTTGTGATCTTTAAATATTTGTTTTCCATCTATACTTAAACTTTGTTCGATAGTTGCATATCAATTTTTTATATTATTATGCTACTTGTGTAAAATTATATAAGCATATTTTTTTATAAGTATTTTTTTCTTAAACAAATGCGGGTAATAGAGGCAATTATGAGGATTAAAATTACTACCCATGTGGGTATGAGACTAGTACAGTTTTTTTTTTTAAAACGCCAGTACGACTAGAGGCTTTCGAGGATTTTTTTAAGTCTCTGACACTTAGAACTGCTCGAAAAATAGGACTGATAAGAAATTATTCTAAGTTCACAAGACTGAAAGTCTATCGAGTAGTTTTTTGAGATTCTCAAGTCCCTAATACCCAAAATTGGTCGAAAAATAGGAACTGACAGGGAAAATATTTCAAGTCCATAAAACTGAATAAACTCTCAGATTTCTTCCAGAATTGGTCGAAAAGTAGAAATTGAGAGAGAAATTATTCTAAGTCCATAGGACTAAAGAACTCTTAAATTTCTCTCAAAATTGATCAAAAAATAGAAACTAAGTGAGAGAAATCATTCTAAATCTACAAGACTAAATGAGCTAACAGATTTATCTCAAAAATTGTTTGAAAAATAGGAACTTAAAGGAAGATATTTGAAGTCCATAAAAGATATGATGGGGCTCAAAAAAGGGATATTGAAAGAGTTACAAGGCTCAAAGTAGTTATCAACAGTTAGCATCAGTTCAGTTGAAGGTCCAAGATACAAAAAAAGATCGTGGGTGATAGCAGTTATGAAAGGACACAACTGTCACCATGATCAAAAGCAACCATGGATAATGGATAGTAGCAGTTGAAGGCAAACACATTCTGAGAAGTGCCTGCGAAAAGAAGAAAGCAGTGGTAGTCCAGTTGCCTATAAATACAACAAAGTTTCTTTTTCTAGAAGATGACTTTTTGCACCTAGACACTGCACCTGAAATTCTCTGGACGCTAAAAACTCTGCATCGCGCTAGACACCAGCTATCAGGAGGCTCACGCTAGTCATTATTTGTTATTGCTAGGAGTTGTACATTATGTTTTTGCAATTTACATTTTTGTAGTTTAATTCTAGTTTATTTACTTCTTGTTTATTTCATGTTGTTAATACATTTTTGTAAAACTTTCATGTTTGATTTAGTCCTGTGTAATTGTCATTCGCTATTCATATTTAATCATTTACTTTATAACGTCAATTTGAGCATCATGTTAACAATATACTTAAAAGAAACTAAGAGAACTTAAATCTGGTCCTCAGATTATTCTTAAATTATTTGTAAAGAAATTAAGAGGACCTAAATCCAATTTTTAGATTATTCTTAGATTATTTATTTCCAAATTGACAATTTTTCACCATAAATAGTATCATATTGCGTTTTGATTTTAAAAAATAAAAAACCACCATTTTGTGTAACCATTTTGTGAAAGCTATTTTCTCTATCCAACTAACCTCCATGTTGAACCCGTACCATATAAATCTATCGGTAGTTATACACTGGCTCTACTGTCATTATTCACCTAGATGTACTATTAAAATAAAGGGTTTAATTGTTTTTCCTATTGTTTTTTGGTTTTCGAGTGAAATAAGTTTGATTATAATCGAATTAACTTAACTAAATCTTATTTGAATATTTTTAAGTGTCAATATATTTTTTCCAAATTTCATTCTTTTTTGTTAATCAGTATTTTTCATCATGTTCCTCGGTTTAATTTAGATGGCAAATTTTGTTGTCTTTAAGGATCATAACGTTCCTCTTTTGGTTTTGACTGTTTATTGCACCCTTCCTGTTAAGCTTGAAATCATGTTCCTCGGTTTTGACTTGCGGCCTCATGAAATTGTTTTATTTGTAGAAGAGTTTTATATTCCCACTCAATGACAAACTTCTATTTCTAAGACTTTTAAACTAGTCGATTAATAGGGTGAACTGCTAAAAGAGTGTATATTTTCATGTTCTTTTGTCCAAATTCACCAATCGGTATCATATATTCAAAATTGAAAGAATAGAATTAACCCAAAACTAGCTCGCCTAATTTTGGGAAATCAAACAAACCGATCCTAATCTAGGATATGTACCTATTATTGCCTAATATAGTTGCTCTCTATATCTAGCAATATTGCCTAATAACTAGCTGAATCATTATCTGATACAAGTAGAATAATTGACTGCGATACTCAAGGCGGTACATGCAAGTCTTGAATGCCCAGTTTGTCCAAGAGTGTTTAAAATCATTTGATACCAAGTACCTTGATAAAAATATTATCCTATCTAAGTTATATAAGATTAATATAAAAATATATTCAATGTTAAAGTAAATCAAAAAAGTTATTTTGGTTTATATTTTTTATAAAAAAAATTATTCTCCCAAGTCTATTTTCTTGCCGTGCTTAGCCATCAATGCCAATTTGACACCCTACGTGGCTGAGTACATACCAACTGTCTCTTCAGTATTGACTAGTTTAAGGGAAGCACAGTGCCTGATTTCTAATAAAGGGAAGGACTTCTTTTTGTGGAAAGATAATTTCAATGACAAGCTTGAACAGGTCATCTGGGGAAGGTTGCATTTGAATTTTGAAATACTATGCTCTTAATAAAGCAAGGGAAAAAGAACATAAAGAAGCAAACTGAGAGCCTTAGCCACCAAATGTGATATTCTATGTTGAAAGGAAAAATAAAATGCTTCTAATAAAATAGCATAGCTCAAGGATTTTATTTTTTTTTGTCACGTATCAAGGAGGTCTTAAATGAACATAGTTACGCAATGCAAGAATCAAACTAATTTTCATGGGCCATAGTTACCTACGTAACCTAGGATCAACATCAAATTTGATTGAAAACTAAAATATGACAAATAGATAGATGGATGAACCAAAACCAATGACTTCTTTCTTTTGAATTCATTTACCTTTAAGATGCTTTGAATTTTTCAATGATCATATCGTTAGTTGGTGTCTAACACTTTGGAATCATGAGAATAAAAAAGTAACAGGTTATCATCATTTAGAATACAGCCTGTACTTTATTTATTTTCAAGAAGAAAAAGAAAACTTAATTCTGCAATATCTATTCCAGATTTACAAAAAAAGAAATAAAGTGCTTTTTTTGTTGGTGCCGGATGAGCACTAATTCCAATTGCAAATGGTAACTTTGAATGATTTCATAGTTAATTAAATTCACCCTTTGAAATTCTAATTATAAATTGTTTACTATTGGAGATTTCTTTCTCCTTGTATCTGTAAAACTGATGTAATAACATATGAACAATGAAGAATGAATAACGAGCTGTATGGAGGTTAGAAAAAACTATTTTACATTCGTATCAAACATGGCTGACATCTCAAATTTTAACAAGATTTTAAATTTTAATAAATCACGGCATATACTTAAATTCCAAAAAGAAAATAATAAAAGGAAACATGTAGTTTGGCATTAGCTTTGCAATGAATTGAAGTGCAAGTAACATTGCTGTTTCAATGTTGATATGCAATGCTTAATGCTTGCCCGTGAAAACCTACTTTGGGACTTGAATGTGGCCAAAGAGATGTCTCAAGTCTCAACATGGTCATGAATCACGAGGCCAAGTTTCAACTGAATCCCAAAATGCTCGAGATTTTTATTAAGAACTATCAGTAGTTAGTATAACACCCGTGATCTTAAAGAGGCATGACTCTCCAAAACAAAAACTACGATGACCCTTCCCCATACCCATAATTATGCCCCAAAAAGAATGATAAAAAATAATAATAAAAATAATAACCTTAATATTCACAGTTCATATCATTGAAAACCGAAAAATTCAAAATATCATCAGTGATGTAGGCATGAAATATGCTAGGATCTTAATATAAGCACCGTGGTCTATGACTTGTATGTCTTCAGCACCACAAACTTTCTTGGTCACGAGATATACATGCAGTTGGATTTTCAGCCATAAGGAGTCAATATGCCAATTCAACAATGTAAATCACACAACTTTTTTCAAACTTGACAAAATTGTAATTAATGTAATGAATGCTTAGTAGTTAGTAGTCTAAACTGGTAGAGATGCGTAACTAACCAGACTTTTGGCATATCATTCTTATCCATGAAAACTGGACCAATTTTTCAGGAACATGAAATTTGGGAACATTTGCAAGTTGAACTGCCAACTAGCAGTGACAAGAAATGTTTGCTGCCACAGACAATTACAGCTAAATGAAACTGTTACACTAAACCATTGCTGTACATGTGATTGATTCTTGGATATGATAAACTCAAATACAGCCTTCAGAGAGTGTACCATTCATTGAGGTGTGGAAATAATACTCTCTTGCAAACAAAGACAGCTGCTGTTGACTAGGACTATGTTTCAATTGTGGAAATTATTTTATATTTCTATACTTATAAAAGAAGGAAAAGAAGAGCACCAGGGAGGAGGGAAAAAGAAAGGTGAAAATTATTAGTAATATTGATATAATAGTGCCCTCATATACATGAATTGTATCGACGCTTCTTTTTCTCTGGCGTTGAATGTACCTGTGCTTTGATCCCATATGTTTTTAACTGAAAATTTTCAAAAGCATCTGAAATTGCCTCCACCTATATAAGATTGCACAAGCATAAGGTAAGTCAACCTGACCTGAACATGTAAAGCAAATAAGTTCAAACCTGAATAGGACACACACCAGTTCTGGCTTTTTGGAGTACACCCTAACTATCATGTCTTGATAAGATGTAGGCAGCAAGTGGCTTATGCGATCATCAGGTATTGTAAATTTCTCGTCACTTTCATAATCCTGAATACATTATTGAACAGGTAAATGTAATATAGCTAGCAGCATTATATAGGTATACATATAGATAGCAGCAAAAGATTAAAAAGAATTCAGGTTATCCTCTTACTGTCTCACTCCTCATCCCCAATAGACCTCAAAACCAGCATTCACTTTATACAAAAGGTAGTTTAATTTTTTTATGAAGTGACATTAATGTTTACATATTGGCATATTATTAACACAGTGCTTCTCACAGCAGCATTTTAAAAGAAAAAAATTTCTCAAGGAAATATTCATAAAACTTTGTACAAATATTAATGTGTAAAATCCCATAAGAACTTCAACATTCAACCCATTGATATGCAACTTAGTTACCAAGAACAAAATCTGCAAGAATAAAAGAAAACATTGAGCCTAAGGCCTCTCTGTTGACCCAATCTTTGAAGTTTAAAATCGTACTGCTGTAAGCTTTCAGGATCGTACTAAAACTTGTGACAATGAACTCAAATTACGGTAAAAGAAAATAATTTTGCATAATAGCCCCCCCACTTAATTGTCAAAATGAACCAATCAGTTGTGTCGAAGTAGAACATTTCGGGCTCTCATAGCCACATCAACTAAACACCAATCATAAGCACCCATCAAACACAATTTAATTTTTCATATAATTTTCAACAAATTAAGCGAAGTACTATCTGGTCTGGATAACCAAATTTGTCTATATTCCAACAGATGTAATAAAAACAGTATAAACTAGAACTAATTAGCTAGGAAGAATAACTTAAAAAACCTAGAAAATGTCAGACTGCACATCAGGTCAGAGGGCTTGCTAGTCCAAAAAGACATAATCCACCAATACAAAATAGATGTACCTTGAAAAAGTTGATGCTGCCACAGAAACATGCACCAGAAGAGAATAAACATAGGTTAGTATATGATATTCGGAAGTTAAAACAAACTGAAGGTCTATGATCAGCATGCATGATCATTCTTCCCTGAATACCTTTCCAGAGGGTTATGCTTTCCACGAGTCAAATCAATTTTGACATTACAAATAGCTACATCCTCCTCTTTCAGTGTAACTCCACCACTCTTCTGTCAAATGATGTCACATATAAAACAACACGGAACTCCATGTTGAACAGAAAGAATCAAAACTATTTGCAAATAATAAGATTGAGGACCTGAGAACAAACAATATCTTGCGCAGTGACTTTCTTAAAATTGTCCAGCATATTCTTTGGTACAGCATATTCATTACAGAACTGCAAAAAATAGAGAAACTTCCTGAGCTTCAGCAAGAAATAAATAATTCTAATTGAATAGATACAGAAAATGCTAACCACACAAACTTGTAGGTTGAATGTAAATTTAGATACAGCCACACTACAGTTGGTGTGAAATTTGTGTTGAACACCTTGAGAAAATAACACAGGTGATTGTTGTATGTTACTGATAATCACAGAAAAGCAACAGGTAAAAACATGCCTGGTACAAATTCCTCCTTCGAATGCGCAGAATCAACTCCCTGGCCTCCTTTAGTTCTTGACTTGGAGCTGTCTCAATGGTTTTAACTATCGTGTCATCCAGCTGCATTTTTCAATGTAAAATATATTTTATGCTTTAAAAGAACATTGTAAACATGCATTTAATTCAAGTTCATTAGCAAGAAGCCCCCTCACAACCTTCCAGTACTCAGAAGGATTATGTATGTGAGATGAAATCTCCAAATAATTATTAGCATGAACAAGTGCATCAACCACCATAAGCTCTATTGCCTGAAAACATCAAGATGAGATTAGAAACAGTAAAAGCCAAAAAGGGTAAGTTTATGGATATTAAAGAGACAGGAAATGAACAAAAAGGCAAGGATCTGTCTCAACAAATGAAATAATCCTCCTGATAAAATAACTACTCCATCCTCCTGATAAAATAACTACTCCATACCTTCACTTTTGGGTGTGTATAAACTGTTCTATACAGATCAGCACGAGTAGCAAACAACTTGTGGATGGTAAGATCTACCAAATTACACAGCCAAAAGTAAGGGACATGAAGAAACACAGTTCAATTACAAAGGTAATAAAAAATTGTTTGCAGTATAACACTAACAGTCCTTAGAACGATAACAAATCTCATCATCCACAACTCGCATTGTCTCTAATAACCTGTAAAGTAAATTTCAATTTAAGATGGTAATAGTTATATATAACACATTTACTTTTACTTTCTTGCAGAGGAAAATTATCAAAACAATGATAAGAAAAAGTTATTTTAGAAAAATTCATGAAACCTTTGAAATTCAAAGTTGCAACCCAGACCACAAGCTCGACAGTCACGGCTAATATAGTCAAATCTGCAAACCAATAGTTTCCACTTAGCGTTATAATATAGCATAACTCAAATGCCCAGACACCCAAAGAATATACATGTGTGAGAGAGAAAAAACATATACAAAAGATTTATAAATCAGATTTGACTGTTAAATTTTATCTGTTTACTTACTTGTCAACATCAATTCCATTTCGGCCATTTGCAACAATATCATACAAGAAACTTTTCTCACTTGAGCTCTAAATAACAAACAAAAAGGAAAAAAGAAGACATTGGTAACAAATATCTATGGTAAGAATAAACAAAATCATCTACCAAAACTATTAGTACATACACCTTAAAAATGGACAGCATAAAATAGAATAGATTAAAAATCTTACCCTTGGAAGAGCAGATTCAGAGCTTGCTAATATCATCTCCTGCCAATTTAAAACCTGTTAGATGAAGATGCAAACTTCTTCCTATTTTTCATTTGTCAGGGTGATGCAGCATAAGTGAATAACTATATCACTAAGTGAAAATAACATAAGCACATGTAATAGCCTCTTTCAACTTCAAGAATCCACACAAACACAGGGAAAGAAAACAGAAGCTAGACAACCTTCTAAACCTGTTTTAAAGATGTCCATGGTAAAGCTTAAACATACATTTCCAAATGAAGGCTACTATTGATCAGAGAACACCAATGGCTATCTGCAACATTTATCATATTTTATATGCTTCCTCAATTTCTTTTTTATCTGTCTACTTTTGAAACAACTTTGTTTTTACTTATCTGTCCATTCGTAATTTCAAGACAACATCAATTACTATCTTATGAACTATGCCCTTATCTCTAACTAATTCTTAAATACTTTACAAATTATCATAAATGAGAGATAAGCAATGGTAATATTAGGAAGTTAAAAATAATAAATATGAATATATTAATTACATTTCCTAATTTGTTTGTTATTCTCCTAAGTAAACAGATAAAAAGAAACAGAGGTAGTATACTATGTTTCGAAGTCCAATACTTCTAAACCAAAAGGAAAGGTGTTTCCAAGCCTACTTTAACTAAGCACTCAGTCTATTATACTGACAACTTGGAACAATTAATTTACCCAAAACTTCAAGTGGATGATGGTTATCATGAAGTGATGCTCAAAATTTAAAGATACTTAATCCATAGCAGGTAAAAGATAATAGTAAATTATATAGCTTTACCTTGACTCTTCTTATCATTTGGGGATCAACATCAATACAGTGTTCATCAACTATATAATCGACCATATTCACTGACATTTGTTCATGTGACCTACCAAATACAAAATATGACACATTTTGAACGGATTATGATCACAAAAGCAATTTAAGATTGACAAGATAAAACATAAATATCTTAAAGGATTTCATCAATGAGAAAAACAGAACTCTACAACATTATGAGGGCATAAATGCAGAGAAAAATAAAATAAATTAGATTATTAAATTCAAGAATATGTAAAAATAAGATACCAATGAGAACCACTGATAACTTGGGGAAGGAACTCCCGTTCAAACAAGTGACTGAAAGGGCCATGTCCCACATCATGCATAAGTCCTACAGAAATGACAATATCAACCGTAAAATTTGTTTATAATATATATATATATATATATAGGATTAAAATCATCAACAGATCTAAAAAACATCAGATACCTGCAAGTTTCACTGTTTGAATATCAAATCTATCAATACCAAGCTCCATGCCCTGCAACATCACAAGCACATTAGCATCCTGTCAAAAAGACTTTCGTAAAAGGGTATAATATATAATAAAATTTCGCACCTGATAACTTTTAAGCTTGTCTATAGATTGACCAGCAAGCCAATACACGCCAAGAGAATGCTCAAATCTGGAATGCACAGCACCTGGATAAACCATGTGCGTAAAACCTGAAACATAAAACAAATTGATTTGTTGGAGAAATCACATACTGAATATTCAAAAGGGGATCTCATGCATGTGTTCATCGATTGCATAACAGCATTTGAAGCAGCTTTAAATATTACCTTTTACACCAACAGTCTTCCTTTTATAGGTTACATGAAAATGACAGAAACTATTTTGTTACCAAAATAAATATGCTCAGTAATCTTAACAGATATTTCATAAGATCCTTCATATATTCCATTGTATCACCAATGCAAATTTTTTTATTGACAAAGATAGATTTATTACTGCCAGTGGTTAGAGGGAATCAAATGGGACCTCCTGGTGCTAGTTATGTCATAGCATAAATGCATAAAAAAATATTTCATCTAAGTTTCCATATAACATATATGATTATATGATAGGGAAAATTTCAGAAAAAACCTTTTTCTCACTTCATGGCACTTTCAAAAAACTATAATAATTACCAAAAACCCACACACAGACTCACAAGTCACAACTTCACATAATGAAGCTGAATTTGTTTAATGGCTATTTCGAAAAAGCTTATGACTGCATACGCTCTTTTTGGTGTATTTCAATAAGTTTTATGACATAAATTATCAAAATATGTTGTTTTCAACTTATCCCATTAAGTTTCATCCATGAACTTATGATATAAGTCGTCGTTTAAAATGAACTTATCAACTAAACACTTAAATAAGTTTTGTATCCAAATGCACCCTGACACTAATCTTTTTAAAAAGCAAAAACAGCTTCACCAAATTCTAAAGCTATATCTTGAACATGGTGTCATTTCAATATCAAAAATAACTATGATTACAAGTACAAATAAACTTCCAAAACTCTAAAACCTGTTTTAGGATACACATACATGGTGTTCCTTTCCTGCAAGTAAAACTATTTAGATGTAGAGCCAGGAATGAGTATTGATGACTAATAAAAGTATCTTATCTGGTATTTAAAAATTGAACTTAAGACCAACATCTTGGCACACTATTTAAAATACATTTGAAATCCCAAAGCAGAAAACTCAGCATTTCCATGAAATTCTCCAGTTTGCAAAATACATTCAAAATCTTCTTGCCAAAAATGAGAAACATAGATATCTTCCTTTTAAAACAAAATAGAACAACTACTAAACAGTCCAGCTTCGTACTTGATAGTCTATGATTTACTCCATTTTATGTATTAACCTGAATTCACTAAAATAAAAACAAATTAAAATTACCTCTAAATACATAAAATATGCCCCACTCTAACCCAAGTTCCATCATAAGATATACAGATTCCAAGCATAGAAAAAGCAAACCAACTGTATTAAAGTTCATAGTGAAAATAACAATGCAAAATCCCATGAAACATAACACAGAACAAGTAATAGTGCAAATGTATTTCGATTTCAAAGTAACTTCCATAGCACTTGCTCTAATCTATTGAATTAAAGAAACAACGATTAACTCACCGAGTTGCTTCAACTCGCGAAGCCTACAATACAACCAAAAAAAAAAAAAAAAAAAAAACACATAATTAACAAATAACCAAACACGCAGACAACAAAACGTTTCACACTTACCTCTGAAACTGCTCAGTGTCTATGAACTTCAAACTGAGCTGCAAAAACGAACAATTACAAAAAAAAAAATTGATAAATGAAATTAGCATATTCATTAGCTAAAAAGGAATAAAAATCGAAAAACAAAGTAACTCTACGGTTGATGAAAATTACGGGATCGAGATAAATGTTGCCATGAACATTATCGTGAACGTGCTTGCAGAGTCTGAGATCTCGAGATGAAGCGACGTCGTATGATTGTGGCAACGAAACGTCGCCGTTGCAATATGCTCCCATGTCTTTCTTCCTTTCTCTGCTATCAACCCAGGATTCAGGTTCTTGGCTTCAGTTTCAAATTTAAACGAAAACGCTAACCTGTATTTATAGGGTAAGAGTTAAGACCATAAAAATCACAAAATTATTATATGAAAAATATTTAATATGGATAAGTTTAAAAAAAATAAAGCATTTAATGAAATATAATTAATTATTTTTTTAGAGTATTTCTTAACAAAAATAAAATTTAAGAAGAAAAAAAAATACTAGCATCACAATTTTATATTTTATATTTATTGTAATAATAAATAAAAATACTAAAAAAATATCTTTTTATCAATTAAAATTTATTTTTAAAGTATAAAAATATTTAAATTTTGCTCATAATTTAATCATTTTCACTGATTAAAAAGACATATTAACTTTAATTATTTAATTAAGTTAGCATAATTTTTTATTAGATAGCCTAGGAAGGTGATGAAAGAAATTATTAACTATAAAAACCATTAATCTTTAGAAAAATATAGTTGAGTTGACTCATTAAGTAATCGTTTCTGAACACGTGAAGTTATTCCGAGTCAACGGGAATATGAATTGCTTACAGGGTAAGTCAACTTTTCTATAAGACCCAATAGAAGCTCGACACGTGGATTAAAAAATGGATTTACCAAAAAAATAGACAATGATTTACTGAAATTATATTATTTTTAAAATTGGAATTATTTTTTCACATGTGCGTTTACACATTCACCACGTTGGGGTTACAAAATTTCAATTAAAAATTTAACGTGCATGAACCTTATTTTATATATAGAAAGAATATTAACAAAAACTATTCTTGAAATCATGTGCTTCATGATAAAAATTATCATTTTATAGGGTCAATAAAATCACTAAACCATTCAAATTCTTTGTAATTTTTTAATTGATTAATTTTAGTAATTACTTGTTCATTAATATAACATAAAGTGTGACCTATAAAACAGAAAAAATAATTTATACACTAAACAAATTCAGATGGCATTAAAGATTTAAACATGTTAATAATGTTTAGCATTAAAATTATCAAAATATGGCTTTAATTTTTATTAAAAATCATAACCCTTTATTTTGGCCATTGAAAGTAGGAACCTCACAATTGTTAAAGCACAATTTGGTAAACACACAATTCTCCTGGTGAAAACAAGCAAAGAATCTCATAATAACCATCCAAATTCCATTCATTTTATAACTGATCAATGTTAGTAATTGCCTTTTTAATAATATAGTAGCAAAATGTTGTTTAGAACAACAGCAAAAATATAAATTTTTTGGTACCATAATGAGCCTGGGCCCTGAAAAGTAAAAACTTAACAAGGAGTGGTAACTTAGAAATCATATAACACTTCTGATTATCAGTGAAGCCTAAATCCTCCACAGAATCACAGATTAATATGAATCCATTAAGGTTACACATATTTGTAGTCTTTGGGGTGGAAATAAGTTAGTGCTATTAGTTTTGATTTGGATTAAACTTATATATTAAATTTGTGAAGATAATGTTTTTGACAAATCTTTTTTAGTAAAGAAATATCATTTTTAGATTAACAAAAAACTTGATGAGTCTATTTATTTAAATAAATATAATAATATACTATTATTGATATTATTCTTATTATATTATGTTTTTGTTTTAATAATCTATCTCATCTAAATTCAGAGTTTCATTTTAGAAAATAAAGAGCACAATAATAAGAGTTAATCATTTAAATTTTAATAACTTCATAATTTGTTACTAACATACATTTTGACTAAAAAATTATTATAACCTCGGTCTTTAATTGATTTGTTATATAACTGTGTATTTTACTTTTTAAAGCGAATTTTACACTTTAAATATATAAAATAAAAGTATGTTATTGATAATATATAGAAGAATTTGTCTTCTTTTATTAAATATTTAAAGAATATTTTTACAATAATTCTATCGTACTCAAATATAATAATCTTATCTAAAAGATATTTGTAGCCCATCTAAATTATTTAATAAGACACGTAATCTGATTTTAAGTAAATTAACAAAATTTAAATTTATATTAAAAAGTACATAAATTTTTTGTTTGACTTTTTATGAACAAAATATTACTATTAACTTATCTAAAATAGAATTATTTATTTAATAAACTAACTTACATAGAATATTTTCCAGAATCACAATCCTTCTCTCTCTCGTGAATGAACCCAACACAAACCAAACAGATAACCCAAAAACATAAACATATACATAAACGAGAGGCCAAGAAACAAGCTCTCTAACTTGAAAAACATCAAAAATGGTGGCTTTAAAGGCCACTTCACCATTTTCATCTCTCACCACAAACCTCTCCTCTTCCTCCAACCTCACTTCCCCATCTTCTCTTCTCCTTCTTCGCCACCATCTTCTTCTTCACCCCACAAGACCCACTTCAAGAGTTTCACACTTCACTGTTAGAGCCTACATAGAGAACCAAAATTCCTTTGCCTCTTTAGCCAACAAAGTCATTGGTGCACTCCCTGTGGTTGGCCTCTTCGCTAGGATCCTCAGTGATGAAGGTGGCGTTGGTGATGACCTTGTTGACTTTGCTGAATTTCGTAGGCGCGTTGGCAAGAACTGCTCCAACACTGATACCACAGCTTTTTATGAATTCCAAGATCGACGTGGAAAGGTAATGAATCATTTGGTTCCTACCCTTTGGTCAATTTTTCATCTTCAGTTTTTTTTCTTCTTTTTATGTAGAACTTATGAGGGTGATTAAGTTTGGTGATTAATCGTTCAATTATTTGACTGCCTCCCCAAAATCAAGTTTGAAGCTTGGGTTTTGTAGTTAAGCTTAACGAGGTTGATTTCATGCTCAAAACTTGATCTATATAAGCTTAAAATTTAATGAATTGGTTTAATTTCCTACCCCAGAATCAAATTTGAAACTTGGGTTTTGAAGTTAATTTAGTGAAGATGATTTAGAGAGCGTTTGGAAAAACCTGCATGGAGCTTATGAAAGTAGTTTATGACTGGCATAAGTTGATTTTTTACATATTTTAATGAGTTTTTTTTAGCTTACGATTAAAACTTATTGATTAAATTATGTACTCAAACGTGTCCACATTCATTAATTTAAATTAAATTTTTTCTTGTCATTCTTGGCAAGTTCACATTGAATTTGAACTTGGTGTGTCTGACTTGGTGTTATCTTGTTGTGGATAGACAGGGGATCCTCTCTATGTTCTGTTATGCTGTTGGCTAGCAGCCATTGGAGCAGGTCTTCTCAAAACTGAGGATCTTCTGGAAGGGGTGGCTAGGCTCCGCCTCTCTAATGACATTGAATTTGAGGAGCAGAATTTCATGGCCCTCATGAATGAGGCAAAGGAGGTTGGTCTCTATTTCCCTATGTAATATGTATTACTTTTGGTGTATCCATCTTCAAAGGCCATTTAGTTTTGAAGGGAAACTCTATTCTAAAATATGTTGTCTAAACTCTAAACAGTAAACACAATAGTTCTGATGTACTTATTGGCCTGAAAATAATTAGTGATTCAAAGGTTTCCTCAAGGCTTATTGTTGTTCTCTACTTTCGCGGAATCAGCATCTTTACACTTTACATTGCCAAAGATAATGCTTTCTCTTGCCTAAACCATCCTCTCTCTTTGGTGTAGACAATTTTCAATCACTGTAGCTTACCACACTGGCATAAGACTTTGCAAATATACCCTCAAGCCTTTCATGGAACATTCTTGCCTAGGCATAGTCCAAAAACTTACCTTGTGCCTCTATCACTTTCATTCAGTTTATATTATCTATAAAGGTCATTCTATTATCTGTGACATGAGGCCTTCCCTACAAAACATTTAATGACCTTTGGCTCGAGGGAAATAGGTATTCATTTCTTCTAGGTTGCTGCACTGCTGAGACATTAGCTAGTCACACATAATATATGTAAGGTGCATGTTTGGTTTTTATTTTGAGGTAAGAATAGTTTATTTTTTTCAGCTTCCTGAGAGAGTTTTTGAAAAATAAGTGACAATTTCTCTAAAATTAATCGATACCAAAAATGTAACAATGTGTTTCTCCCGGATGAAATTCTCATTCATTTTTTGTTGTGAGAAGTGCTATGTTATCAACTGGCTAGCTTGAGATGAGGAAAAGCAATTCCAAGACATGGCAAATATTTTTGTTGTTCATATCACTATTGCTCCTCATTTATGCTTGGTGTTTGATTATTTTTATGCCTCTACCCTAACAACTCAAGAAAATATATTCAACACTGTAGAGAAGGGCAAAGCTAAGGACTGAACCTCCTGCAATCCCAATGGAGATTCGAGCTGGGAAGGCTCTTGATGCTATCTATGTGTGCTGCTTTGGAAAGGACCCTGTAGAGGAAGAAGATGAAAGATTGCTAACTGCAATGCTTAGTGCTGTTTTCCCAACAGTTCAGAGAGAAAAGGTCCAGCAACTTGTCAAAGACAAGGCAGAGAAAGTAGCATCAGGAGTTAACGAGGAATATGTTTCTGAACCCAAGCCTCTATCAAAAGAAGCTGTGGAAATCCAAATGAAAGAACTTCAGTTCCTTAAACAAAATAGTGAGACTTAACTATAAGTGAAGCCTGTAATTTCCATTACATAATGCATTGAATGAAATTATATTTAGAAACTAAGCTGGTTTAGCCTTTTGGCTACTCAGAAAAAAGACAGATATCCTATATCTTATTCTCTTATGTGGGGTTATGACTTTTTGGAAAATGCAGAAATTTCATGTAATCACTGTTAGAACTTAGCATTATAAATGGTCAAGGTAGAAAATCATTTTATCTCTAATGCCATTTTATTTTTTGAAATTTTTGGAGTGATTTAGTTCTTCCCATTGCCACCCTATTGCTACATATCTCTCGCTTTGGATTGCTTCATCCGTCTTACATATTTGCAACACCTTTTGTGGCATTTAATAGGCACGGGAAGGTGTGAAAAATGAGATAGAACCGTAATTTTCTGTTAAGTTTGAAAATTTAACAAGAAATTTACTTAAATATTCTTTATATTATATATAAGTATTTAACAATTAATAAAAAATAGTTTTACTAAAAAAAGTATTAACAATGTAACGTCAATAGTTAGCTGAAGTTAGAAAAACGAGATGAAATTCGCTGATTATTCAACAAACCTCAAGATAGGAAGAATTTCCTCTTCAACGAGACTGTAATTTACTTTTTATAAAAGACAAGAAGAATGGAGTTAATTTGTATTTTCAAAATGAAGAGGAAGAACATGTAATTTTACCAAATCATATGGTCTGGTGGACATGATTTACTTTCGTTAGTCAATTTTCAATCCCATGTTAACCATAGATACTAATATCCTCGCATTAAAAGCAGTACATTCAAATTCTAAAAACACAAGAACCATACACAGAGAGCGGTCCTTACAATTTTATTTCTGAAATAAATTAAACGAGTACAAACTCAACAAAGCAAGCACATATCGTTATAGTGCCCTCTAGATCTTTATTTGCTCATCCATTGGCCTAAAAAATGGAAGATTTAAAGGCCACATTGACACACACTACTTCACCGGTATTGGCTTGCAAGTTGACCCCCCTTGACAATGTAGTTTTGTTCTGGAAAATCTTCACCCTTAAAGTGCCGGTCAAGCATGTCTTTGACACCAGCAGCATAACGTAGCTGAACAAGTTTGATTTATTATCAGTATTCCACCAAGTGAAAGAACTTACGCACATAGAAAAAAAAAAAAAAAGACAAGTAAATGCTAGAAAATTAAACAACCTGTGCATCTATTGTGGTGCCAGAAATATGAGGAGTCATGGCGTGGTTTGGCATGTAGCGCCATGGATGATCCTTTGGAGCTGGTTGTGGGTACCAAACATCACCACCATAACCTATAGAAATAAGAGATTAGGAATGACGATGAAAGAAGCGCTTGAATGATTTTAAAATTTAACAAATTTCAGGTATATCACGTTCAGTTTATTTTTACATGTGCCCAAGAACACAGAATAAAAACTTAAATATAGTAAATTTTTATTGAAAATCACAAGATATAGCAAGATTTAATGCATAAGTAACATTAAATCCTACTATTTTCAATAAAAACTTATTATTTATTGATTTTTCTAAACTTATTATTATCGTATTACATTACTTCCAACAGTAGTTTCAATGTTTTGATGGAAACACAATTTTTTGTGTGCTGGTTTTAGAATTACCTGCAACGTGGCCACTAGCACAAGCATCAGCAACTGCTTGGGTGTCCATGATTGCCCCTCGAGCATTGTTAACAATCAAGACACCCTTCTTGCACTTAGCAATTCTATTTTTGTCAAACAATCCTCTGAATCACAAAAACTTTAGTCACTACTCATCACTGGAAAATGATCAAAGAATTTGAATATCCATGCATAACACCATGTCTAAACCAGTACAACAAAAAGTATGGAATATACATGTACATTATTAAAAAAAAAACTTCATATATATGTTGGATTTGCCATGAATCCCTGGTGATAAATACTGATAATGCACAATTTTGAAAATTATAAAATGGCATAAGATTTCAACTGTTAAAATGTATTTTGTTGGATTAATATTAGAAGTATATACCTTGTCTGTTCAGTAAGAGGCATGTTGATAACAATTACATCACACTTTGGAAGCATTGCATCAAGGTCCTCCTCAAACTTTGCTCCAATTTGTTGCTCCAATTCAGAGTCCATCCTAAGTCGATCATAATACAGAAGATTACAGTTAAAAGGCTTCAATCTTTGTAGTAAAAGCTTCCCAATTCGTCCGGCACCAACGGTCCCTATGGTCTTGCCTTCAAGATCATAAGCTCTATATGCAATGCCAGCAACATTCCACTCTCCATTAACAGCCTGATGATACCCTGGCAAGAAATTCCTCACTAGAACAAGAATTCTCATGAGTTCGTCCTCTGCAACCGAAACTACATTGCTTCCTGTGATCTCTGCCACAGTTAAACCAGCAGCAGCAGCAGCCTTAAGATCAACATGATCAGAACCAATGCCAGCAGTCAAAAGTAGCTCTAAATTTTTCGCTTTTTTTATTCTTTCCGCAGTGACATAGGCAGGGTGAAATGGAGTAGTTATGAGGACATGGAGATCATGAAGGTGTTTCTCAAGTTCTGTCAACAAGACAACAAATAGCCATAAGTTCAAGCAATCAAAAAGATATAATTACATTTTTTTTGTTTACACCATCCAGTATCAGATCACTATACTGGTGCTGACTATATATAATTAATGTTATACTACTCTCAAGAATAACATATGCTACCAATTCATTATTCTACTCTCAAGTCTCAAGATAATGTTATATAAAGTGGAATTAAGTTAGCAAGATATATACTAACCACAATTCGGTCCTTCTTTGTCATCAGTGACGATATACTCATGACCTTGTGATTCAAGCCACTCACGAATACCCAATGCTCCTTCCACACATCCCACAAAGTTGGGATTCATGGAAGCATACTCATTCCCTTTGTAGAACACCCCCACAATCTTCTTCTTTCCACCAGTGGCCTATTCATAGTAGTACGAAAAAAATAAACAAATTAATCATGGTCATGCACAAACGAAATTGAAGAACAGAGACCAAAAATTAATATACACTTATTTTGATGCAAAAATACAATTGCATTAATGATTAACCAATTACATTTTTTTTTTCTTAATTAAATGTTTAATCCCTACAAAAATTAAACAATTTATATTTAATTCTTATAAATTTTTTTGTTAAAATACAGTATCTGCTATTTCATATACTGTTGTTTTTAGTTTCTTGTGTGAGCTTTTGATTACATCCCATCAACTAAACAAAAAATAGTCTGTGAAAAAGGAAATAAAATAGTAGGGAACTTTTGTCGTAACAAAAACTTAATTAAGCCAAAATTAATTTAAGGTTTAATTTGTTCAAGGAGAAACGAAAAAGACAAGTTTGATGACAAGGATGAACTGAACTACGTGTACTTGAGGTGCAATGGCAGAGCGACACCAACATCACGTGATCGTCACGGATCACGCATGCAACAAAGAGAAACTGCAATCAACAACCTCACAACACCAGATCCAAGCTCCGATCATTGAAGAAGAGAATGATTATACAAGAAGAAAATAAAATTGACACAGATACCCATGTGTTCCATGTGTTTAAGAAACATATTTTTATTTTTCACAAGTGATTCTAAAATGTTTTGTTTAGATTATTTTAGATAAAATGACGAGATTTTATCCATAAAAAAATTAATATAGTGTTTTAATTTCGATAATTCACCAAAGATTAGCCATAATAACTTGTACAAACTATTTTTCTAAAATTGGTGAAACAATTAATTGGGCTTACGTGAAGGTTCCTGGTGAAAGTGGAAGAAGAAGCAAGCAGGGAGCGAACCGCAGAGGAAGCCACACGTTTCATGGCCATCGTCAGAATCACCAAATGGTAATAATTAGAGAGAGAGAGAAGAAGAAGAAGAAGAAGAAGAAGAGAGCGATGAATTGAAGAGTGGAATAGAGTAAGGTTTATATAGAACCAAAAAACGTATCAGCAGACACCACAGTAGAGTACTAAGGTGAAAGCATAGCAATTACTAAGGTGAGGTTGCTCAGGGAAGGGATGAACTATTATTTTGTCCCCACCTTTGTCTTTGTCGCTTTTTATTGTTATACACGTGTGCCTTTCCATTCCTACGTGCCACTCTTTTCTTCAACTTTTCATTTAAAAAAAACACACTTTTTAAATATTTTTATAATATTTTAATTATTTATTAAAAACATTTGAGTCATTCTCTTTTTTACGCTGAATGTTTCAGTCTTACGATTTTATAATTTTTGATAAATTTTATTTTAAAAAATTTATTTATAAATATTTAAACTTAAGTTCAAGAGTTGAGGTTATAAAAAAAAATTGGTGACTGAAATTTATTGATAATATAAAATTAAGTAAACTTTATTCCTAATTTAACAAATTTTATTTATAATATTAATAAATTTTTACTAAAAATAAACAATATATTAAAAAATGTTACTAATAATTTTTTGTCCCTTTTCTCCTTTGCTCTATGCGCTTAAACTTCCTCAGCAATCATTCACTCACGTTATCTTCATTCTATTCCTAATCCCAAATTTAATTATGAAACTACTTTGTTATCTGCCAAGATTAATTTTAGCATGAATCATTAAGTACAAACCCTAGTGTGTTTGTCTTCAATTACTTTATTTTCAATTTATCTTTTTATATGTTAGCGTACGATAATTATTCTTGTTAGTTTTTTTTTAAGAAATAAAAAATTAAATTATCAAAAATAAGAAAAGTAATTAATTCTGTTATATTTTTTATAAATATAAATTTTATTTTAAAAATATTCATAATATTAAATAGTGTAGTTAGTAATTTATATATTTAATACTACTAATAAAAGAAAAGTTAAAAAATTTAAAAATTAATGTATCTTAAATTTATTATTTATTTTTTATAATAAGGATTAAAAAATATTCTATTTTACTTTTATAAAAAAAAATAAGAGGAAGTATTAATTAGTTGATGTGATAAAATGGTAGTCATTTATGATTCTTTTACACTGCAAGATCTGAAACATCAAAGTATGAGAGGAAGGATAAAAGGAAAGATAGAGGAAACAAAAAGCTAAATTTTAAGGACTTTTCGGTGATATTATATTATTTTGTAAATAATAAAATATTTATAATAATTAAATGAATTGAAATTTTATTATTCAATTTATTATTAAATAAAAATATTAATGATTAAATTATAACAATTGTTTTAAAAATTACTTTCAAATTATAATATTTTTATATAAACTAAAAATATAATTAAGTTTTAAAAACAATAATCTTCTTTAAACTTCGTATTCACGTGGTCAATCTATTAAGTTAAAAGTCTTATATTTAAATCTCACATTGTGCAAAAAATTTTCAGACGAGAGTCACAAATATATTTCGTGATCTATGACATTAGAAAAAAAAAACATTAAAATAAAGAAAAATGATGAAGTATTAATTAATTTTTCTTGTAAAAATTTATAAATCTATTTTACATTATAAAAAATTTTAAATTAGTAAATTTTATATTTTATAAACAACTCTAAAAACGGATAAGTGATATATTTTAAAAGAAAAGCTAATTAAAAATTAGTTTGAATTTGGTGTTAAAAAATACTCCAGGCAACAAGTGGGAGGAATTGTTTTTTGAAGCGCATATATATTGGACCCACAGGACGAGTCGCCACAATCACACTAAATAATTTTAGCTTTTAAAAAGTTGTAATCATTATAATAAATTTATAATTAAAACTTAAAATACAAACATTTATATTTCAAAATTTAATCACGTCCAATCAAGTATTTGTCTTTTAAGAAATAATAATATTTACAAGTAACAGTTAAATAGGATTTTTTTTAACAAGTTAACATTTTCGAAATTACCTTTTTAATAGACTTACTTTTAAAAATTAACATACATAACGATTTCAGATATTAAATTATGTATTAGCCGGTTTGATGAATAAAATTAAAAATACAATAAAATTTTATTTTAATATTTACTTAATTAATATGATATAATAAGTTGTGAAATATATTTTATAAACTTATCATATTCTTCTCTCTAATATAAACTTTCTATTATGAAAAGTTTGAATTAAAATTTAATAATATAAAATTAAATAGTCTATTTAATTTATTATTTTAATATATATTAAATTAAAAAATAAAATTATAATTTTTATATAAATTTTATATATTAATATTTATTAATTTTATATTGCACATCAAACACACTTCTACTTTTAAATTTATAAATTATGCTGAACCAAAATGTATATTTATCTAAATCATAATTTAGAAATGTTAAATTAATAATAATAAAAAAAACGTATTTTTATATGCACTATTTAGAAATTATATATACTGAAATATGATATTTTTTAAAATATATAAAACTTTAAAAAATCCAAAGATAATTTTTAGTGTAATATATAAATATATAAATTTAGAATAAAAACATAAATTCTCAAAAATTATTAATAACAACAATTTTTAAAAAATATTAAAATAAAAATTTATTAATAATGATTTTTAAATAATAATAAAATATTTAAAAATATATCAAAAGTCATCGCTGATCATTTTTGAAAACAAAATTATATTTCTGTATAAAAATTTTATAAAAAAAAAGCCCACGCACACTAAGCTGCTGCCGTCGGCGACCTCTCTCGTATTCGTATAGTGTGGCCTGACGTGACAGAGCCGTGTTTGACTGTTGGATTTGGATAACTTCCAAAATATGAAAAACGGATTTTTGGGTATTTTTCAAACCCCTATCATAAATGGGTTTTAAAAAAATGAAAATTAATTTAAATATAAAATTTGAAATTATTATATATTTAAATACAAAATTTTAATAAAATTATGAAAATATAGAGATAATATTTTAATTTAATAAAATTAATTAATTTTATTTAATAAATATTTTAAAATTTTATATTTTTAAATATCATATAAAAATCCAAAAAATTGTGAAAGTTAAAATAATAATAATAAGTATAAGCCTTAGATATTTTATACAATACTTTTTATTGAGAGGATGGATAAAATGTTGTGAGATGACATAAAGATGTCCCTATGGTTTATATTGTCGACTACAGAGTACAGTCCTTATAATTGTTATTTTACAATTTTATATTATTTACATAATCATTATTTTATTAAAGTTAAAAAGTATATGTACGGTTTAATGGCCTTAATAATGTCTTTTTAATTACTTATTACTAAAATAAAATTAAAAATAACTAATTCTTTATTTGGACAAATTTTTATCACATTAATTCATGTTTTGTATAAAAGTAAGACAAAATTATTTTTTTATTTTTTAATTAATTAAATTTATCTAAAAGAAGGATGAAATATCATATAATACGACATGTGTTAGTTATTTTGTATATAAGAAAGACGAAAAATAAAAAAAAAATTAAAATTTAATTTTGTCACTTAAGTGACACGTGGACCAATGAATTTTTTTTGTCTTTGATGTAAATAAAATAATAGTTTTGTCTTCATTTAAGACGAAATATTAAGATGACTACATGTGTATAAATTTTGTAAATTTTGTCTTTATCTGAAATAAAATTACAATGACTAGCGGCTACATCTTAATATTTAAAAAAATTTGGCTATATAATCTTATTATCGCTAGATTAAGATTGAAATGAAGAAAGGCTTGAAATCAAAGACTTGGAAGACTTTCCAAAAAAATTGTAAGATTAGTTATAAATTTTGAAAATTTTGGTGAAATTTTTGTATTTTTGATAATTTATTAAAATTGAAATGTTTTGTTAATTAAAATTGATAAATATTTAGTAAATATATTTTTATATATGTTGAAATTAAAGACTAATTTTTTAGATATTATTAAAAAATAAAAAGAATTATGTTAGTAAATGTTTAATATTATTGTGATGTTAAAATTGATGTTATATTTGTTGTGAATATTTAGTTTATATATGTGGAATACATATGTAACATATTAATTTTTTTGTAATATAAAATATGTGAAATGAGTAGTATGTTTGTATGTTTTAATAATAATTTAATTTGATTATTTATATAAATAAGTATAATTGTAATTGTTTATTAATATTGTATATTTTTTAAAAATACAGATGAGTAAGATTATTGTTATTGTATATTAGAATAGAAAAATTGTTGTTGGGAATGAATGTGTGACATTTGAAGGTAACAAAAAAATGATAAAGATAAAAAAAGGGATAAATTTTAGAAATTTGAAAAAAAGATTCATAACAAGTTAAATTTTAATAATAATTATTTCATATTTAAAATAATTTCTCATTTTATGATTGATTCAAACGTTAAATAATATACTATATTAAATATATATGATGATAAAAATATTAATTGTATAATTAGTATGTATCAACAATAAAAGTTAGGTCAATATAAATGATATGGAAAGTATAAATTAAATTATTATTATGAATATTGATTTATTTTTACCAGTAAAACATATTAAATTTATAATTGTAAGATATTGATCATTTGTATAATTTAGAGAAAAACAAATAGACGAAACATTTAAATAAAATAAAAAATATTAAATATAATGAATTTGATTTACTGATCTGTGTAATTTATTTTCGTTAAATAAAAGATAATGCTCTGACAGTATACAATAAACAAAGAAAAAGTATTATTTGGCAATAAGAACATTTTGTATTACAAAAATTTTTAAAACACTTATTAGTTAATAATCGTGTCACTAGTCAATCATCATGACACCACTGTCGTTACGAAGCACCACAACCAAACACTATCATCTGCCATTAGATTAGATGCCTGAATCTGATTATCCTTTGCAGTCTATGATGGGCCACAGATTCCAACCTTTGTCACTAATAATCAAAATAAGACAAAATATTTTTACTCTGCCATCGGTTATCGACAATCTTTGACTTTAGATATCTTGGTTGCCACTTTATTTGTGTCAAAATAATTTAGATTAATATTTGATTACTTATAACTTGTATACAGATAATTTAGATTAATCTTTAAAGTTTATATTTAAGTCATTTTTAGAAATTAAACTTTATGTTAAAAAAGTTAAAATAACCATTGGTCCTTGACATTTTGTAACTGTTGAGTCTTAACAGGCCCATTACAGTTAATTGCTGGACATTGTCCATGATTTTGCTCTAAGCAGGCCCATTAAAGATAATGCTATTATTGCTTTTGAGTATTTTCATTGTACCAACTACCAAGGAAGAAACAAAAGGAAAAAAGGGTTTTGTGACTTTTAAAGTGAGACACATCAAAAGCTTGGGATAGAATAGAATAACTTTTTCTATAAAGCACTCTTGTTAGTATGGCCCACATATACTTTCTATAAGACCAACAAAAAAATATTGAATATTGTATATTTTAATTATTTAATAATTATTTTTTGAAAAATAGACAATGCTTTGAACTTGTTTTTTATTTAAAAAATTGTTTTAATTTCATAATTTTTGTGCAGTGTATTACAAAGTACTTGTTTTCTAAGGCATTTTATGGGACAGCAAATTTTTTTTCAATATTTTGTTAGACAAATTGTCTTAAAAAAATCAACTATATTGTATTCAAAATATTTTTATCTTAATAAAAATTTGGTCTTTTTCTTCTACAATTTTAATTTATTTTTTCTTCTTGTAACATTATATTATTTATAATATCTTTCACTTTTACTTTTAATATATATATTTTTATTATCTCCCTCTTCTCTCCACCTATTACACCTAAAAATATTTCAACGTAGAGCTTTCAATTCGAGTTATCTTATATTTTTTCAAATCTTTAAAACGGTAGTTTATGCTTAACTATATGAAAGTAGGAGTTCATGTAGATTGATTCACATAATTATAATTTATAATAAAAATGCAACAACAATATAGCGTGTAATGAGTTTATATAAACCCATCTATACTAGGGTAATTTTTTAAGTGGATTTTCTCAGGTTAGACTAAAAATTTTAAATTTGTTTAGGTTTTAAATTTAAATAAAATATTATTCTCAACCCCAAAAATTGAGAACAAATAATTGAAAAATATTTATTATTTGAATTATAAAATATTATGATTTTATAATAAAAAAAATACCATTCTTATGTTCTTCATTTAGTTGCTCACACTTTACATTTTAACGCATGATTTTCCTAATTTAAATGGGCGGGCTGAAAAGTAGTAATTGGATTGGGCCTGGGAGCCCAATAGTAGAAAAGCAAAGAAAATGATAGTTGGTTCTGGCAGTTTCCGTTGTTCAAACAAAATAAGAAGGTTGTGGCAGTTTCGAAGCACAGTGGGAGTGAAGAGAGAGATGGATCCATCGGCGGCACAACCGAGTCCGACGGTGAGTCAACGCGACCAGTGGATGGTAGAGTCACAGGTGTTCCAGATTTACCATCTCTTCGCCACCATTCCTCCCAGCGCTCAATCGCTCATGATGGAGCTTCAACGCGATAAACACTTTGAGTTTGTATCCAAAGGACTTCGCCACCTCGGTTCCTCCTTTTCCGTATTGGACGCTAGGTCTCTCTCTCTGTTGTTTGAACTTTGAATTGCTATTTCTGTTATTGTTTTTACCTGTTTTTGATTAAATGATATGTTGTGATTATGCAGTCGACCTTGGCTTTGCTACTGGATCGTTCACTCCATTGCTTTGTTGGGAGAATCCGTCGACGACGAACTTGAAGATAACACTATCGATTTTCTCAACCGTTGCCAGGTTTGCGTTTCTCATTCTATTTCTCTTTGCGTTGTTTACTTTTTTCTTTTGCATTATTTGTAATTTAGTGACGTAATCAATTCAAGCAGATAAACAAAAAATTTGAGCCGTTGTTTGGAATTTTTTTTTCAGTTGATATGCTTTTCTTTTTTTGCGAACTGTTACAACGGGATTTTATTTGTAAGTCAGTGACGTAATGCATGAAAGCAAACGAACAGAAAAATGACTATGTAAGATATTCATTTTGTAGAGCAATGTGCATGTTTGGAAACACATTAAAAACTTGTAAACATCAATCTAACGCAGAACTTACAACATTGTGTTTGGTTGGATGTTACTGTGCCTTGGACGTGCATCATTTCAAAACAACTTAGCGTGTGTTGGGTTTTGCTTTCGGAAAGGTTAAATGCACATCCTTTTAATGCTATTCCGAGCAGTTTTGCTTCAAAAATGTGCCTATGATTAGAATTGATGCTGTTCCAAACATGCGCTTAGAGTTGCTTCTGGAACTAAATGTGCATTTACAATATATTGATGCTGAACCAAACTGGCTGTAATGGCATTGAAGCAACCATGGATCTATGTCCATTCAATTGTAAATCCAAACATGCTAGATAAGGCCTTGATATTAGACAGTTGAACTTGAAGTAAGCAATCAATGTTGTTGAAAAATGGATATATGTATACATATGGCTGAAAAGTTATGATTAAATGATATCCTATATTACTAAGTGTAGAGTGCCTCTTTTTTTTAATAGTCTGGAAATAGATTTTCACTTTTTGCATTGTAATGGTTTTGATCAAGAGTGCCAAACATGGCCTGGCTGATCCTTCAGTTACCATATTTTAGTATTAATTTAAGACGGGATTTCTTGGCTGGCCACTTTTTTCCTATCTCATTCCTATTCCCTCATAAATTTCTCATTCTTTTATAACCAACAGGATCCAAATGGTGGATATTGTGGAGGACCAGGCCAGGCAAGCAACTATTCTTATCTTTTGCTTACTTCTACTTGATTACTAAGCTATGGTTTTGTTGAATTTGATTCTTACCTTTTATCTCTACCTCTCTCTTTGAAGCTACATTTTTTTTTATTTTTGGTTCCCCATCTAGTTTAATTTGGATCCAACCCGAGTCTCTCATTGAAGCTACATTTTATTGTCTCTTTGTGCCAACTCTAATGTATATAAATAGAAAACTAACTAATATTGTGATTAGTTATTAAGTAAAATATGCCTCCATAATTACGTATAATATATAGCTGCTGCTTTTGCAAAGACTAAAGAGAACAGGTCAAAGGGATCTTATACTGCATGTTTGATCCTGTGGCTTGAAGGCAGTATATTTGAATTGGGACAAAATCAGTTGAATAAGTTTAGGCTGTATTTTTTTGTACACTTTCTTTTTCAAAAAATAGAATTCTTGTTATGTAATTCTAATATTTTTTATGTGACATTTATTCTTATATTTTCTAGGTTCTTTCATTTTGTTGTAACTGACTAATTGTATTCTTGGAAAGAGTATAAAACTTCTCAAAATGAAGTTGCTTGTCTTTCATGTTTATTCTTTCAATGTTCAAGAAGCATAATGGATTAATGATTAATATCCTTGAAATCTTCCTCAGATTCCTCATCTTGCAACAACTTATGCTGCAGTTAATACACTTATTACTTTGGGTGGTCAGAAATCCCTGGCATCAATTAATAGGTGGTCAGTTTATGCACTCAGAGAAAGTTTTTACGATGTTGTGTTGCATTATTTATATGGTAGAGTAAGTCTTCATTTGGTTGGAATTGATTGGTTTGGTACTTTGAACATATTATTCCCAGAGATAAATTGTGTGGATTTCTCCGGCGGATGAAACAACCAAATGGGGGATTCAGGTTTGATGTCTTATTCATCTCTGTGCCTTCAATTAACAAGAAGAAATTAGACTGATGTCGTGTATCCATTTTTAATTGTATCTGATGACTATTCATTAAATTTTTATATATAATGGATAACAAGAAATTAGACCTATTAATGGTGACAGATTTGATTTGCTTGTGTATTTGGTGCCATGTGTGCAGAACTTAATCTGTCACTGTGCACAAATCTAATGGGTTTGACTTCAAGTGATGTGTTAAAGTATTTTCTTAATCTAATGGGTGTTGACACATGCAGAATTGATCCGGGAAACCATCATCTTCTAATTCTTTCTTTCCAAATACTTTATTCAGGATGCACAATGAAGGAGAAATTGATGTTCGAGCTTGCTACACTGCCATTTCTGTAAGTTGGTATCTGTCTTTATTTCACAAATGCTTGTGTGTGTGTGTGTGTATGGATGGTCAGAAATTTTACTTGGTGGATCAGCGTCATACATAATTGTTATTAGAATGGTCCTTTAATTTTATAAGACATGGCTTAGATAGCATATTACTAATTAGTATTGAAGGTTGTTAAAGATGTTGAGTGAGACTTTTTTACTGTTATCATCTATTTTATGTTCGTTGTGGGAGGGTTTTTTTTTATGCTATTGCTGGTATAAAATGTTATCTATTGCATAACACAGAATCTTGTTGGAATCAGGTTGCAAGTGTTTTAAACATTTTGGATGATGAACTGATCCATAATGTTGGAGATTACATTTTAAGGTTAGTTTGAAGAAGCAATAACTTTAATTTTCCAGCTTGAAGTGCATTGTCTTATAGTTATTATGCAATACATATTTTATATTTTGGTGCTTCTCTGCAGCTGTCAAACATATGAGGGTGGCATTGCAGGTGAGCCTGGTTCTGAAGCTCATGGTGGGTATGTGTCATCATTCTTTCTCTCCTATTTTACCTCTTCACTATCATATATGGAATTAAAAACCAAAGGAGGTATGAGAAACATTTAATTTTGACTATTTATTTATAAGGTACACCTTTTGTGGATTAGCCGCAATGATTCTGATTGGTGAGGTTAATCGTTTGGATCTGCCTCGTTTAGCTGTAAGAGAATTGTTCCTTTCCTTATTGGCTTCCAATTAATCATATGAACTTTTGAAGTTGGCAACACTTGAAGTTGTATGGATGGTTTAATTATGTGAGGCTTTGCATTAGGAGTGGGTGGTATTTCGGCAAGGTAAGGAATGTGGATTCCAGGGAAGAACAAATAAATTGGTGGACGGATGCTATTCCTTTTGGCAGGTGATTTAAATTTTATATTTTCTTTATCAATCTTCTTTGTGATATAGTTGGATTGAAACTTGAAAATAAGCAGGGAGGTTCTGTTGCACTATTGCAAAGATTATATTCTATTATGGACAAACAAATGGAACAAGCCTCACTGATTTTTCCAAGATCTGATGTATCTGAAGAAAAAGAAAGTTTGGATGGGACCACTAGTCATGAAGGTAGGTTGACTTTGAAGTACATGTTTGAAAAATTTATTTTGTAACTTTTCCCTTTAATACCTATATTTCTTTCTAATTTCATTCCACATTATATTAATAATTTACTTTTTTTAAATTCTTATTCTCACAGGCACTAATGAATCTTGTTCTGCCGATTTTAAAAATATTGGCTATAACTTTATCAATGAGTGGACGGCACAGGAACCGATTTTTCACAGCATTGCTTTACAGCAATATATTCTCCTATGTGCACAGGTCTGCATTTTATCTACTAGTTTCCCATACTGATCCTTGTGCCTCTAATTTACCTCTTAAGATGCCTTCTTGATTCCTTGAAAGCTTGAAATGAAAATTCAGCTTTATATGAATGCATCTTGTCCAATAATTTGAAATTTTGAAGTTTTGATTCACCTGACATTATGTTCTGTAATCATTGTGATGGATGAGAGCTAAATATTTTAAAATTTCTGCTAAGTTTGAACTTTGACAGAATCAAAATGTTAGTTGAATCACTTTGACTCTGCCCAAAAAAAGGGGTTGAATCAGTTGACTGCACTTTCGGACAATTGATAAACAAAGTTCAACCTTTTTAATAATTGATTTCTTTTTCCTGTTAAAACCAACCTCCTCTTTCGACATTTGATTGATATCCTTACTTCAACCATCTATCTATGTACCTGATGCTACCTTCAATTTGTTGAAATTTGCATTATTTTATTTATCCAATGCATTGGTCGTATCACATAATGCATTGATCCAGTTTTCTAAAGAATACTGCTTTTCCCCTTTATAGGTTCGATTGGTTGTAAGTGATTAAACTAATGCTTTTGAGTGATGATGACATCTTACGTGCCAGCGTTCATTATCCTTCCTCTTTGCAATTTTTTTTCCTTTGGTGTCACCCCAATATGTGCTTGATGCAGGAGCAAGAGGGTGGATTGAGAGACAAACCGGGTAAACGTAGAGATCACTATCACACATGTTACTGTTTGAGTGGGCTCTCATTGTGCCAGTATAGCTGGTCAAAGCATCCAGATTCTCCACCGTTGCCGAAGGAAGTATTGGGACCCTATTCTAATCTCTTAGAACCTATCCATCCCCTCTTTAATGTTGTCTTAGATCGATATCGCGAGGCTCATGAATTCTTTGCTGGGTCGTGACTGGTGACTAGATTTTAGCTACCAACAGCTTTCTCTGTATAATGTAAAATAATTTCATTGGAAAGTTACTAGTAAATATGATAAAAACAGTGCTCGAATACTTGGGTTATGTGTCTCTAGGTTTTCGGAATTATTGTTGTGGATATTATGTCAATGAAACAGAAGTTGATGATGTCTGTTGTATTTTTTTTTTTTTTTCAATATAAGTTGATTTCTGTTGTATTGTGTGTTTTGGGTGCACGCGCGCTCCTTTTTTAGCCCGTGGGACCGCCATATGTAGGCTATGATGCATTAAATAGTGTAAATAAAATACGGTTTTGTTAACCCAATCTAAGAGTTGAGATTAAATATCTAAATGTAAGTTTTTATTAGAAAAAATTGTTTATTATATTGGAGATACAAAAGTATAATAAATCTTTTATTTTTTTACTAAAAAAAATATTACTATTAGATGTTTAACTCAATTCTAAAGATTTAGGTCAATGTTTTTTTATTAAAATATATGAAATAGAAATAAATTTTTTTTTTTGCGATCCATGGTTAAATTTGATGTATGATAAATTATTTTAATTTGTCAACAAAGGATACTATATTAAGGATTGAACTTGTATTTACAACTTCAACATTTTTGTAACTTTTTTTAAAAAAATTTTCATTAATAATAGTGAAATTAATTTTCATTATTTACTCGATCTTTGTAATTTACTAATGATGCAATGCCTACAAAAGAAATACTAGCAACATTCTTTAAAATATTATTTTAAAATTTAATAATATTATTTGTTATTTGTTAAAGTTTATAAAAGTATGTGAATTTTACTTCTAATTTAATGACTTCTACTTAAAAATTGATAGTGTTTAAAAGAGTGTTTGTAGAGTATGTTTTTAACATTCCTTTACCTACAAAGTTTTGTCTAGGTGAATCCTGAAAACAAATTTTGACACCATGCTGAACTAGTGTTTCATTGGCTAAATGACTTTGATCACGATTTAGTTAGTGTTTTAATTACGGATCACGTGTACTGTAGGTTAGCGTATCATTGGTTAAACTTAAATGACCCTTTAGGTTTTGAAAACTTTGCTTATAAATCAAATGCAGGAATAATTGTTGTCGTGACAGACCCCAATCTCTAAATTTTCTCCAAACTAATCTCACCTCTTCGAGTTCACTTTGATGAACGAATAAATTTTAATATACTTAAATCACCGTAAATGCCACTAATTTCTTCGTGGATTTATTTTAAATTTCTCGAGGCTTCAACGGTTAGGCATGCAACATACAGTAGCATGATGAAGACAACATTGATAATAAAAAAAGTTTTGCGTCAATGAAGATTTACAATGAGATTAAAAATTGTTTCTGAATTCTGATCTAAATAACACACTTGTCTTAAGCTAAAAGTTGACAAAGTGAGCTCATCTTATGGACTTCATGGGATAAGCAACTGACTTGGTCCTTTACTTGTGACTTATAGTTATGCTAGAAAATGTTTATAATCAATGATAAACAATCATTTTGTGTTAACTTCATCATCTATATATCATAGGATTAAAATTTATCATTTTATCACCCCTTTCTAAATTATGTTTTACAAAAAGTTTGAAGCGAAAGATCAGCCATGATCGAAGGACATTTTACGACATTATCACAATTTCATAGGCCTAATGAAGCATATTATGGACGGGTGATTTAGGCTCTTGTGACTTAGTTATGCTTGAAAACTGTTAGCCATATAATGTGCCCTTATACAATGTTGAAGTAATTTTTTTGAAAAAATTTGAAGTGAAATAGTAGTCCTATCCTCAAACCAAAAGATAAATGTTTTTTTTTTCTTTTATTGTCCCCTTTTAAATTGAAAGTTTTAAAATTTCAAGTAAAAGAACAGGTAATTAATATCCAAAAGGCATTTGTACCCAAAAGGAAAAAAAAAACCCAAATTACAATTACATCTCATATTGCAAAGACAAAAAAGTACAGGGATAATCATAATTTTCATCTTACAATAAAAAAGAAAAACAATTTTAGCTTCTGTAAATGGGGCGAATGGGTCAGAGTTACCCTCATGATGGCCTAACAGTGATTATTTTTTAGCAAGAAGAAAAGTGTATCTTCTTCTCTAGTAAAACGAATAAAAAAAGTACTTTGACCACACTTAATACACACCAAACGTCAAGAGATGAAACGAATTCAATTAAATAAAGGTAAATTTTACGGTGATATGGGAATTGAGGGAGTATTGTTATTCTCTTATACGTGAATCATGATGGTTGATTTTAACAGTAGAATTAGTAGTTTATTTAGAAAAACATAAATATCTTTTAGTATCTTAGTATAATTTAGAGAAAATATTTAATGTCTCTTCAAATTTAAAAATATCATAGCAAGTACTTTAAATAAAATATTATTTTAATATTTTTTTTTGTGTGTATTCTTCATAAAAAATGAGAGATTAATCTTAAGTCACAATTAGGCGTTGAAACAAGAACTCGCAACAATCCAACGTTATTTTTTCCCCTTACACATAAATCTAAGATTAAACTCATAATTATATATTTAATTGATCCGAATCTCCATGGTTGGCCCATCATTTATTTAAAGCATAAAACAGATTTTGAGAAGATGCCTTTTTAAAGAAATAGTCTACTAAAATTCTTACGATTTTTAAAAGTTTTTAAGATGCAAAGTTACTTATAAATTATCATAAGGTGCAAGTTTTTAATTATTCAATAGAAGGAAAGACCAAAAATAAAAAAATGCAGATAATTAAAATGAAGAGAAGATGGAATGACGTTAACTAATCAAGAGACAAATCAAACTTGTTTTTGGTAATATTAGTTAGAGAAAGTCATAATTCATAATAGGTAAGATGAGAGACTTCTTTTAAAAAATTTGTTACTCTATGAATTAATTAATATTTATTACTATTCTGTAAAAAATTAACAAATAGAAGGTCTTTTCACAAGCCCAAAGCGTGGCCGGCCCGTGAACCCCTTTTCACTCAAACCTTACACATATTGGTGAAAATAAACCGTAATTTGATTCTGAATATAGTACAATAAAATTATTAATGTTTATTTATCACCATCATAAAAGGACTAGAAATAAATGGAAATAAAAAATAAAAAAAAAGAAAAAGCATAGAGAAAAAATAAATATAATAAATAATGTGAAAAAAAATATAAAAAACAATAAATATTGAAATGATTTTTAATGATTTTATCAACATCAACATGTGTGATTGATTTGAATTAAGTACTAGAAGTGGTACAAAATAAAAATATAATAAATATTTTTTTCTAACAAAAAATTACCACTTTATATATTTGAAATTAAAACATTTTTCTTTTCTTGTTTTAAAAGCTTCCTAGTAATATTTATCAGTCATTAAATTACCATGAATGAAAGCAGCATGCATCTTTAGCAGCTCACAGTGAAAACACAACTTGAATAATTGATTATATATATATCCATTTCCAAAATCCTTGAACACACCAACACAATACCATGACTACGACTGAGAGTAAAAGCTTAGGTGAAGCCAAGAAAGAGAACAAAGAAGGGGAAGCCGTGAAGAAGAAAGAACAACAACACCCACTTTCTGAATCACAACGATCAATCTCTTTTGACTCTTCTCATTACACACCACCCAAAAAATCTCCTACAGCACCAACACTTCATTCTCACATGCATGGTCACCACTCTATGAGTGATGATGGGGACCTTCAAATGGTGGTGGCCAACCAGTCTCATTCTCACTCTTCAGTCCATGATGATGGGGCCAACGTTTCAATTGTTAAGGAATTAGAGCCAAAGATGGTGAAGAACATCGGTGAAATTGAAGAAGGATCAAAGAAAGAGGGTAAGTTATGCTTTGTTGTTTTGTTGGGACTAAGGATTGCTGCTTTTTTGCTGTGTAAGATAGCTTTCTCGGTGTTGGCTTCTGATAACCAAAAGATTTTCGGTCGAATGCCATCTCCTTATTGGCAAGGGTTCTATCAGGAAGTCTTGTATGAGCTTCACTGGTATTACTATTGGGAATTCAAGTATGTTCCTCTCTTAATCTTTCCTTCCTCCTAATTAACATTACTTGGTATTTCTTGTTGAGTCATCAAAAAGTTTATATTATCATGCTGATCGTCTGATAGAAAATTAGTTCTTCTAACTCACTTATTAAGAATCAATTCATTTTAAAATATTTGTTAAATTTTTATGGAGTATTTTAATTAATATTTTTATTTGACATAAAACATCTTGACACCATTATTATCATCTTTGTTATTATTATTTAAAAGTATCTTGTCATTGTTATTATTTTTGAGTAATGTAACGATGTTATTCAGCTTGAGAAACTTTTCATAAAGTTGAGCATAAGGATATGTTAGATTTTATGATTTTTTAAAATGTAAACACTAAAGTGAATTTTAAAAAAAAATTAAAAATGTTGAGTTATCAATATTTTTGGAGAAATTAAATGGTAACTTCTTTAAAACGTTACGTGTACAAGTTAATTGTATACAATATTACAGAAGATGTATATATTTTGTTTAACTCCTTTGATATGTGTTATTTTTTTTAAGTATTTATTAAAAAATTCATCTAAAATAAGTCTAAGGAAGTATATTCGCAACTAGGAAATGGTTTTTGTGCAAAACAAAAGTTTTTTTCCCCTCTTTCTTACCCCATCCTGATAATAGGGCTTTGAGTCTATTAATGAAATTCATATGCTGTGCTTTTTCTTTTTTTTTTTATTGCTTCTGTCTGGTGCAAGTTGAGAAGGTGTTGCATGCCAATGAGTGATTTTGGTTTGGGTGTGATTCTGCAGGTACTGCTTGTCAGTAAATGTGATTGCTTTTGTGTATTCTTTGTTGCAAATATGTGATCTAGTGAAGTACTTGGTCACTAAAAGACACACTCTGGATCCTAAGCTGCGGGGTTACTTCAACATTGCAATGGATCAGGTAAAGCCAGTGTTCAGCAGTTTTCATTCTATTAATTATAATTCAACCGAATGTAGCCCTATTTGAATTTTGGTTTACAATTATGTTCCTCATACACCCACACCTTATTTTTGGAATGTATGAGGTGGAAAGAAAGAAAAAAAGAATTTTCTTTTTAATAAATGATGTCACATTAAAAAAGGTATCTCTAGTGAAAGTATTTAATAGTATAAATATCATTGTTATTTAGTTAAATTAAGTTACTCAGAATTTGTTAATGTTAATCGGTGAAAGAACATGTTTTGATATTGTTATTATATTATTAAGATTTTGTCAATTTCAATTCTTAAAACTGAGTTTAAACATCTAAAAAATAGAAAATTTTTACTGAAAAAAAAATTCATTGTATTAAAATTATGTAAGTATAGTAAACACTGATGTTAACATTTTTCATATTATTGTTATTAAAGTTTTCATGTCAATTGGGGTAATGCATGATATTAATTATTGTTATGCTTCCATCTCTGTTCTCATACTCAAAATTAAGGTATGTATGTTTCCTAATTTCATGAATAATTATTAATTGCATAGATACTTATATACTATGCATGGTGTTTGATGTTTTCATTTTAACTGTAGGCCATGGCATATCTTCTAATATCAGCAGCATCATCAGCTGCCACTAGAACCCATGACTGGAAAAACAATACTGGGATTGCATACAAGTTCGTGACAATGGCCAACGCATCTATTGTTTTCTCCTTCTTTGCATTTGTGGCCTTCGTCTCTTCCTCAATTGTTTCTGGCTTCATCCTTTGTAGATTTAACTAGTTTTACTACAATCTTGCTCTATAATAATGTTATATACTATAACGTGTCGAGTACACTATCTATATTTAAGCCTTAGAGTGACGAAGTTTTATCATTTCCAGATTAGCAAGTGCGTGCACAAGTTTTCAGAAACATGATTCGTTTCTTAAGTAATGTGTTTTCCTTTCATCCTTCAAGGGGAAAGTTTAATAATACATTTCACTTTTATATATACAAATTTGTTAAGGTAGTACATGTGAATATAGAAGTGTTACATCAAATAAAAATAAATAAATTTTATAACATATAAGTGATAAATATTCACAATTTAATTTAATTTGTTTAAGTTTTTAGAGGAAAAAAATAAAATAAAAAGAACTAATTTAGTCTTCTATTTATTATGTAATTTTATACTCATAAGCAGTTTGATAACTAATTTTATCAAATATTTTGAAATTTAATTAACTAAATTATCATTTTAAAGTTATTTTATCAAACAGGCCATTATTATTACTATTATTATTTTATTTTTTGTATGATGACGAATGAATAAAAAGAAGGGCATGACTATTGGTTACTAATAAAGTATATATAAAAGTGCAGAAGCCATAATATTACTGTACTACAGTGCTGAAATAGAAGTAAAAAATCACATCAGATCTCTAATCACTCCTTAGCCTTACATATTATCTATTTTGTAACGAAGTTAGAAACCAAACGTGAAGCTATCACAAAGACGGTTATATAAGAGATTTATTACCAATTTACACACTCTCTTGACTAGCAATATTGAAGTCATTAGAACATAAAAAACTGTGCTCTCTCCTTATCACTCACATATTAATATTAGCTTCATAGCACAAACAAAGATCATAATGCACAGCAGAATTTGATATGCTTAGTTATGTTTATGGGATCGGATGAATGACTATTTTCCCAATGGCTTTGTTAGTCTTCAGATATGTAAATGCTTCCACAGTCTGAGAAAAAGGAAAAGGACTCTTAGGGTCCAATATTGGCTTCACATTTCCACCCTCTAAGTAAGGTTGTAGTTTCTCCAACACAGCACCATTTGAAATCATAAAAAATGGGACGGCTGGTGGGGTTGCTGGTGGTGCAATTGTCACTACTTTCCCCCCTTCTTTGATTGCCTTCAATGCCTTGTCAGTCTGTCCTGTTTTTGGAATTAACTATGTTTTAGTTCAATAATATTTTAATATTGTATGAAAAATTATACTTGTACATCAATCTTGTACAAATTTTTACTATAAATTAAAGTGGCAAAAGAAGAGGAATGTGACAGAGATGAAGAAAAATTGTATAAAGTGTTTTAAGAAATTGTTATAAGAAGAATATTATAGCTCGAATTGTACTGATCAATCCAGTGTGTTTGAACAATCTGTAATGCAAAAATTACAAATAATAATATTTAAATACCAGTTTTTTAATATATGTTCAATAACACACAATATATATATATAATACGTTTTTTTATATAAAATAATAATATATTACAAAATTGAACACATTCATAACATCAAATACTATAATTTTTTTTATAAAATTTTACTATTTATTGATTTTTACTATGTATCTTTAAATGCATATTAAGAAAATTATTTAAATAAAAATATATTCATAACTACTTAAATGTATATCTAATCACACTTTAACTTCATGTAAAGCAATTAAGCAAGTAATATAGGGTCAATTTCAGTAACTGACCTACTGTATCATACACTACATCAAACTTTTCTTTTAGTTCCTCAAAATTGTCCTTTGTATAGTCAATAGGAAGGTCTGCTCCCAAGTTCCTCAACAAATCGAATTTAGCAGTACTAGCAGTGGCTGCAATCTTAGATGCACCAAAAACATGTTTGGCCAGCTGTATCATCAAACATATATATGCACAAATGTCAGCAATAATTTCCATTAAGTAACATAAATATTTATATTGTATATAATTGAAATACAAACTTTATGTAAATAGAACAGGTAGAGTAAGAACCATAGAATAGCATCAATGTGATTTGAAGAAAACTAAAACAACAAAATAATAATAAAACTATCAAACCTGAATGACAAGGGATCCAACTCCGCCAGCACCACCAAGAACAAGTATTGATTTTCCATCAGAAAACTCAATTTTTTCAAGGCCTTGGTAAGCAGTGATTATGGCTAAAGGAAGTCCAGAAGCTTCAACAAAGCTCAAATTGGAGGGTTTGTGAGCCAACACTTTTTCCTCAGCAACAGTATACTCTGCCAAAGATCCAATGTTTTTTGGATTATTCACAGCATACTCATTGATATCACCATAAACTTCATCTCCAACCTTGAATTTCTTCACTTCACTTCCCACTTTGACCACCACACCAGCAACATCATAACCCGGAGCAGTCTTAATTTCCAACACCAAACACCACATTACACAACAAAAAATATAAAGAAAAAAAATAATGCTAATCAGGATTAGGTTTAAGCATATAATAATATAGGTTGTTTAAATTTGCGGCATCCATGTAACATAAGTCACTCTTTATGTGTTAAAAATGTCACTTAAGGTATAAAATAAATGTCAATCCAAGCAGGTATATTATTAACGTTCAAAGAAATTTTTATTTTTATTTTTATTTTTATTATTATTTATATATTTTTTAATAAATTTTATTGTTTCTACATATTTAAAATTAACCTTAAAAATTGATGGTAACATAGTCAAATGAAAATTTATATTAGGAGGTAGAAAATGGAAAGTTTGCTTATAATCTCACATAAATATAATTTAAAAAAAAATCATATTCTTACAGGTAAGGGAGAGTCAGTGTTCTTGAAATATCCACGAGCCCTCTTATAATCTACAGGATTAAGAGCTGCAGCTACAACCTTAATAAGAACCTGATCCTCCTTAATATTTGGTATAGTTACATTAGGATCAAATTTGAGAATATCTTCTATGTTCCCATATTCAGAGTAGACCCAAGCTTTTATGTGTGATGGAATGCTTGCCATTATCTGCTTGGCCTGAAGTGAAGAGAGTTCCTGGTTGGTACTTGAACTTGGTGTGGGTAGTGTGATGAAGCAATAACAAATATTTATACAAATAAATAAATAAACTATCATTTTTACATCTCAATTCTTTTAGTCTCACAACTTTTTTCCCATATCAAGAAAGAAAGAAAAAATTAAACTTAAAATCTTTAATCTCGTTCTTTATATTATAGAAGTCTTGTTAACTAGTATTTTTAAAGTATCAATTAAAGATTTGAAAGTGAAAATTTTTTTTTCTCAAAAATTACAGGAAAACTTATTAGTTATAATTTTTAATAAATATTCTTCACTTTTTAACAAGACACTTTTATCTGTTATAAAAAGAAAGGTGTGAAAATAACGTAAAAAAATTATGATGTAAGAAAAACAATGTTTAAAAAATTTCACCTCTTTCCTTCCTCTTAGCAGTTAAGATTCGATAACCTGGTTAGTTTCTAGTTTCTTCTTTCATGATGTTAATGCAATTTCAACATTTTTCTTGGTCTGCATGCATGCAGACGACTAAGTGGGCAGGTTGACTGTTATAATATGTCACGCTCGTGATGTATTATCTCCTTTGTTTTCAATTCAATAAGGAAAAAGGATTGTTTATCATTCTGTATGTGGACCAATATACAAGCTTTGTGCCATGCAATTCAATTGTCTTGATGATTTCTGTGTTGATAATTTTGTTTACAGTGTAAAGCAAAGTCTGATAAATTCTTAATTAATATTTAAATGTCAAGCTTTGTGCCATGCAATTCAATTGTCATGACGATTTCTGTGTTGACAAATTTGTTTACAGTGTAAAGCAAAGTCTGATAAATTCTTAATTAATATTTAAAAGTCATCTTAAAATCAAAGTTTGGAAAGTTTATTTAGAGAATAGGTAAGCAATTCAGCATATTCAAAGCTCATTCAAAAGTAATGTCTATTTTTTTTTCAATGAGTTAAAAATATTAATTTAAATTTTATTAAGAAGATAAATATTTATTATTTTAAACTTTAATATCGTAAATGTATTTTTTAATGTTTTATTTTAAGTGTTTAAACTCAATTTTAAGAGTTAAATTAACCAAACTTTTAAAAAAGCTTCAATATATATTTATAATAATTTAAATATTTAATGTGATATATTCAACGATTCATACTTAGACCCAGAAAAAAAAATTTATTAATTTTTTCCCATAACAAAAAGAAGGAAAACAACATTTAAATTTGAAAATTCTTTTCACTTTCTTTATTTATAATATAAAAGAAAGGTGTGAGAATATAGTAAAAAAATTATGATAAATAAGAAAAACAATTTTGAAAAAATATCAAAACTTTCCTTCTTCTTAAAAGGTAAGATTTGAAAACTTGGCTACTTTCTAGTTTCTTATTTTATTATTCTTTAATGCAATTTCAATTATTATTACTTTTTTCCAGTATGGAGACGAATTGCTGACAAGATTCACTTCGTGCAAATAAACTGACACTCGGCTAAAAGAAAATTAATAATATACTTTTTTAACATATTTTATTATAAGTTAAAATTAATTAAACTAAAAAAATACAAAAAATTAATATTAATATAGAGCAAAAAAAGTAAAACTTATATTATTTTTATAATTTTTAACAAGAAATATATTAATCCTAACATTACTCTTTTAAATAATTATAATCGAGAAATTAATATTAGCAACAAATTTTTTAATATATATTTTTAATATATGCTTAATTATTAACTGAAATTAATTAAATAATATATAAATTTTAATTTTTATTCTTAAATTAATATTTTTGTAATTTTTAATTAATAATTAAAAAATATATTATGAACATTCTGCGTTGTCATATGTTAGGTTAATTTTTTATTTTTTTAAAAAATATTAATATTAAAAAGTCATCTTAAATTTAAAGTCAAGCAAAGTCTTTTATACGATTGCTGAAGTAAAGTCAAAACTCATCCAAAATGCCAGTCAAAAGTAACCTGGTTTGTAGACTATAAGAATATTGGGTTGGGTTATTAAAGAAAAAAAAAAGAAATAAAATGACCGGTTAACTTATCTAAAAATATTAAATAATAAAATAATAGAAATAATATTAAATTAATAATTAACTAGTAAATAAATCTATTTTAATCATTTTAAAAAAAGTTAACTTAACAGGTCAATCTATTGTTAACAAATTAAAATATGATAATCATCTAAAACTTGAATTAATAAACAGATGATTATTTTAGTTTAATCTTTAATTTTTACTTTGAGTTTAAGTAAACATAATTATGTTAAATAAAAAAAATAAATTTGTTGTATAATAAATTTATATAACTTGAATGTAATTACCTCCAAAATTTAAAACTATAATAGGATATAAGTCTAATCTAATTTATCCTTTGAGTAAGTTAAAAGGATCAATTCACTAAGTTAGATCCATTTTACTTCTCTCTGCTCTTTTAAGAAAATATAAGTCTTTAAAAACTCACAAAATTTGAATAAAACTTTAAAAAAAATATTGATGAAGTTCCTTAACTCCTAAACCAGTAGACACTTGTGTGGTAAGGTTGTGTTTATATATATATATATATATATATATATATATATATATATATATATATATATGGTATTTTTAAATTATCACAATTAATGTATTTTTATAATAAAAATAAATAGATTTTAAATGTTATAGAATTTTAAGTTTTTCATTTTTATGTCAAATAAATATAATTTCAAATAATTAATTTTAAAAAATTAAAATTTTCTATTATACTTAATTTTTTATATTTTTATTATTCATAACTTCTATCGTAATTAATTTTTACTTCAAACATTTATTATTATTACTTTCATATTTTTTAAAATTTTAAAATTCTCCGTGAGTTAATTTACTCTGATAGTCCCACTAGTCGCAATTAAACCAATCTTAAAAAATGATTTGGAAGCATACGATTTTTGTTCAATCAAATCATTAACCCAACCTCAATACAACTTCAAACAATCCAATTATTATAAATTTTTATCTGTTAAAATATCTTAACAAAAAGCAACTTAATTTTATTCTTTTAAAAACAACATAATATTATTGATAGAATTTTTAAATTATATATAATATATATACACACATTTTTATATGGGTGTGAAAAGTATAAATATAGAACATACAACCATATACAAATAATTTAAAATAAAAGAGATTTAAAAATTACATAATTACTTAAAAATCATTTTTTTAAATTTTCATAACTTATATGTTTTAATAATTATAATTTATGGTAAGATTTAATTATTAAAATTTATTTATTTTCACTTTTACATAAAAAATGTTTGCTGACATATCCTAGTTTTGTTTAGAAAGGGTATTTTAATAAGTTACAACTTAAGTGTATTTTAAGAAAATCAAAGTTATAAATCATTAATATACTTTTTTCTAAAAATAAATAGACGTATGTTAGTACACATATAAAAAGTATTTTAATAAACTGCACCTAAAATATAATATAAAAAAATCAAAATTATACTTTATTAGCCTACTTCTTAGTTCTTAAAAATAAATATGGGTGTATGTTAGCACTCATTTCATTTGTCTGTTATTTTCCAGTTGTTTCTTATATACTCCTATTTATTTGTCAAAAATTATAGTAATAATTTATTAAAATATTCCTTTTAAAACACTAATGACTGAAAATTAACAAGATCCTGTATATATAGTCATCAGTTGACCCAATTAAGTTGATATTAGTAGGGTTAAGCATGCAAATTTCTCAACTCCTGGGGACCCAACTTGATTAAATACAATTAATTTGAGTTTTTTTCATGTAAAATCAACACAATCTAACCCAACTTTTCAAGATTCCACAATTATAACAATTAGATATTTTACTGTTACTTATAATGTAAAAAATCTTCATTTCAATGAATGAGATTTTAAAGCATTGAATAAACATTATTGCAAAAATAATATAGTCAAGTTCTAGTGGGGTGGGTAATACCATTACCATATTAAAAAATATTAGGTAACGAAAGATACTTAAAGTATTATGATATCCTTTTTGTCCGGCTGCTCTTTTAAATAAGCAATTAAATATCATTCAATATAAAATAAATCTCATAATATTTCTGTTATTCAATAAAGTAAATGATAGCGACTAAAGATTTTTAATGTTTCATAACATATTAAAATATTTAATGTTTTTTTTATTATATATATATAAAGAAAGATATTCTTATACCAGTATAAGTTTAAAAATTTTTATATTCAATTTAAATATTTCATTTAATTTTTAATGAATAAATTATAACTCATTAGATATAAATTAAAGAAAAAAATTAAATTGAGTATAAAAGCTTTTAACTATTAAATATAAGTTAAATAAAATCAAATGTAAAAGCTATAAAAAAAATCTTGACTCTATATATATAAAATTAGTCCAATAAGAAATCTTATCGATTAATAATATACCCATCAATAATGATTTATAAAATTTCAAATACAAGAATAGAACTTTGATGGCACAAGCAAACACTTTCAGACAGCTCAAACTTGTATAAGAAATGAAATATCACAAAAGGAAATCAAGCAACTTTAAGAAATAAGATCTCAATGCTAATTTTTTTTTTCCAAGCCAAAAAAAATCTATATAAATTGAATTCAATGCATGTTTAAAAATTTAATAAAATCACGTTTTAACGTAAACATTATAATTTACAGTGTTGAAATGAATTGGTATTTGAGTATATTTGACTCAGAACACAAAATGTTATTAAATCTTTTAGTATCATTATAATATAGTTATATTAAAGAGAAAAATACATGATTTTAATTAAATTTAATCATAGTGGATCTTTCTAAGATAAAAAAAAAAATGTGCCTTTATTTATTTGATCGCCATCACCCCTAACCCTCACCACTTAGTTGAACACAAAGTGTTTTTTCCTTTTCTTATCTTGCAAACACAATTCATCAATCACCACAACATGGAAACAGATGCTTCAAGCACTGATGCTGTTATTAGTATTCCAACTCACACAAAAGCTTGGTACTACTCTGAACATGGAAGAGCAGCTGATATTCTAAAGTTAGATCCTAATTGGGAACTTCCCCAACTCAAAGACGATCAAGTGCTCATCAAAGTCATAGCAGCATCCCTTAATCCCGTTGATTACAAAAGGATGCATGGCTTGTTCAAGGACATTGATCTTCATCTACCTGTACGTTTACAACTTCTATTTATTCCCCTTAGTTAATCAGTTTCAATTTTTTTTAAAGTGGGTTTGTGTTAAAAAGTTAATAAATTTTATTTTTTTAATTAAATATTATAGTATTTTATATTATAAATACATTGAATTTTGTGATATTTTATGATTTGTAATAAAAATTTACTGTTGGGTATCATTGGTTACACGTTAAAAAAGTTAAATTAGTTTTTATACATTAAGTTTTCAAGTTACATGTTTGGCTCTTGTATGATTTTTTCTTTTATGTTAGTGTTTTAAATATTACTTTTCATATGTGTATTTGGATTAATTCTGTTATTTGAATATCAAAAGGTTAATTTTCTTATCTTAATTTTTATTTCTCATTTTTTGTATATGCATTTTATTATATGTACTATAAATTAAGGAAAATATTTTTTAGTTGTCCAAATTTTATGTTCACTATTCGAAAATGCTTGGAAAACTACTCAGGTCTTAGTAATTTTCTTACAAAATATTTTTCTTATACTCCTTCCGTTTACTATTTCACATCCATATAAGAAGAATTAAAGAAGGGAAATTCAAATTCTTGTATTTAATTATCATAGTAGAAGTGCCATTCAGTATGAACAAGAATGAGGAAAAATTAATACAAAACAGTTTAATATTCTATTGGAGGAATTAAAAATTTAATTTTTTTGGTACAAAATCAAGGGTGGCTATGCTTATACTGTTTTTGTGATCAATTCATCTAGCTAATTTTCGTACTAATAAGCATTTTTGTGATCGTAAAAAATGCTGAGAGAGCATAAAATAAAATAGGTGTTCATCAATTTATTCCTGGCTTTTTTAACTCTTAAAAGATATGAGTGCGTAATAATGTTCTTTTTTTTAACGTCTCTTTGAGACTTTTTCTTTTTCATCTATCTTTATTATTATCAATATTTTCTACCAAGAAATATCTATCTAGTTTGAGAGATTCTATATGTGATATGTCATGCATCTATATTCTTCAACAAATTTAACATTGCTGAAAATAAATATTTAATACATTCTTTTATATTGTCCAATACGCACCTCTATAACAGTATTTTAATGTATTCAACCATCAATTCATGCATTTGTTGGCATCTTATATTATTCACAACGAATTTAAAATAATTAGTGGCGTCTAAAACTTAGTGGGTAATTAAGACTCTCTAGCTAACTTTAATTTAATTATTCAATCTATATAGATTGTGCCGGGTTTTGATGTTGCTGGCATAGTGCTCAAAGTGGGAGAAGAAGTGCAAAAATTTAAGGTTGGGGATGAAGTATATGGTGATATCAACGAGGAAGGCTTATCCAACTTAAAGATTCTTGGCACTTTGTCAGAGTATAGTATTGCTGATGAGAGACTTTTGGCTCATAAACCATCAAATCTAAGCTTCGTTGAAGCTGCCAGCATTCCTTTAGCACTTGAAACTGCTTATGAAGGCCTTGAACGTGCTGAGTTTTCTGCTGGTAAATCAATCCTTGTTTTGGGAGGAGCTGGTGGAGTTGGAACCTTTGTCATTCAGGTATACATATGATGAAAGATATTTGCTAGAAATTTTTTTAAAGTTTAAAGATTTTGTATTACTCGTTATTTGTATAGTATGTAGAATTGGGTGAGTTTAATAGGACAGAAAAACACGTATTTTATTTCTTAATTTATAATATGTCAGGCATTTAATTTTATTTCTTAAGAATATAACAAGTACATTTTGCATTTAATATTATATAATACATACAATGTGTAATTATTTAATTTGTTTGATATAAAGGTCACCCTCACTCTATTATGAATAGGAGACTAATTCTTATGTCAAGTGAAAAAGTATAATTTTTCTTTGACAAGTTTTCTATCCTCCAACAAAGATAGCACCTTCTTTCATTTTTTGGCATGCATATATGATGGAGAAGTAGCAAATGCTATAAGTATATGTTTGGGTGCAGCTTGCCAAACATGTTTATGGCGCGTCTAAGATAGCAGCAACAGCTAGCACTGGGAAACTCCAACTTTTAAGGAATCTGGGAGTTGATTTGCCTGTTGATTATACAAAGGAGAACTTTGAAGACCTTCCAGAGAAGTTTGATCTTGTGTATGATCTAGTAGGTCAGACATCTTAACCAATGTTTATTTGGTTTAGAATAATAGCTAGATCATTTAAATATTATTTAAAAAATTGACTAATAAAAAAATGTGTTATAAAAAAGTGTTATTATTATTCCTTATATGAAAAATGAGCATGCATGTATATGTATTGTTTCTAACAAAAGACTAACTATTGTACCAAAAAATGAATACTTGTAAAGGGGAATCTGATAGAGCATTGAAGGGGATTAAGGAAGGTGGGAAAGCAGTGACAATAGTGTCTCCTGGACTTCCACCACCAGCTATTTTCTTTGCACTCACTTCCAAAGGGTCTATCTTAGAGAGATTAAGACCTTACTTTGAGAGTGATCAATTGAAGCCAATACTTGATACCAAAACTCCAATGCCATTTTCTCAAGTTATTGAAGCCTATTCCTACTTGGAAACTTCAAGAGCCACAGGAAAAGTGGTTGTTTATCCCATCCCATGACCATAGTATAAACTGATATAGTTTCATTCTAATTAATATATAATAAACATATCAAACTACCAACCATGCACGTTGATTAACTAGTAGATGTTTGTTCCAAAAGTGTGTACTGATGACTTAATTACCATTTATTTTATATCATGCTTCAAGTTTATGTATGTATGTATATGTCCATAGTTGCTACCTTTTTGCTATTATGAATAAATATCTGTAATGGATGCAATAAGTTAATTATATCATTGGTGATGTTTATTACTCATGCTTCATGATGTAATATGAACATGGCGTTTCATATTTTTGACAAATTAATATAATGAAATTAAAATTTGAAGTGACTAAATTAGATAAAGAATCTTCAAAAAAATTATATAATGATTACTTTTGAAGAACTAATTTGATAGGTAATTTTTTTTAAAGGCCTGATTAGGTATCCTAGACCAATAAAAAAAATACTCTAACAAGTAAAACCATAAATAGAATAGAGGACTGAAAACTAATTATAATAATAATAGCAAGGACCACGGTCTTAAAATGCACTTCACACGAAATTAATATCTTTCCTATGAAAGCCGAAGTAGCTAAGCAAGAAAAATAAATTATGTCTTTTCTGGATCAATTTTAAAAATTATTATTATTTTTATATGAATTATAATATTTATTTTTAAAAGATAGACATTTTTAATATTTGTTATCAAGTCACGTAGTTTTTATTACATTAATATCTCATACTTTATTTATATATTATTCTTTTGAAATATTATTATTTAAATTTAATAAATTTCAATTAAATTGTGATGTAACACATCAAATATATAGATGTAAAAGTAATATATTTTAATTCAAATAATTTTTTTTACAATTTTATTTTTAATTTTAAAACTTTTAGTTTTTTATTTAATAAAATACGATTCTCATTATTGACCATAAAAGTATATTTTGTTATACTCAATTTTTTCTTAAAATATGTGAATATGCCATTGTTTAATGATGATTATATTTTTGTTTCTTATATATTTTCATTTAAAAATTTATTTAAATTCATATATTGCATGAAAAGCTCATTAATAACTTGATATAAGCATAATTCATAAAACCTTTTATTCTTTCTTATCCAATTAAATTGAAGATATTAATTTAGTCTCTAAATTTGCACTATCACTTGCTTTGATAACTAATTTATGAAAAGGAAAATATGGCTCCAAATTTCACAACTGTGGGTCAGTTTAGTCTCTTAATTTAACGCTATCAATTAACTTAATATTGATTTTTTCTAATATATAATAATTTTCATTTAACTAGGTCCCTGCTGGCTGATGCACATTAACATCGAGGATTAAATTCACTGTACGCATTAAAGCAACTACGAAAGTGGTTAAGCAAATTAATGTCAAAGACTAAATTAATTGGCAATTATAAATTAGGAATTTAATTTACTTTCCCATAATGTTAAAGAAATTGAGCGATAGTATTTATTTCAAGAACAAGATTGATTTTTATTTATAAAGTCATAAATTAAATTATTTGATAGTACCAATTTAAAGATTAAAACAATATTTATATTTTTGAATTTAAAAATAAATAATTTCAAAATTAAAAATAAATTATATCAAAACATCATACCAACTTAATAATCAAATAATGGAATATATATTCAATTTATATATAATAGTGATACAATTAATAGTTTTTTATAACACCTTTTATAATTCATTTTTATTTAGAATTTTCAATTACATTATTTATCTTATTTAATGCTTTTTTTTGTTGCTCTCTTGAATTATAAAATTTACTGTATAAAATTAATATATGCGTTGCATTATCCATTTATATAATATTAAAAATTAGCTGCTCAAAGAATCGATCAGAATTTAAAAACTAATCTAAAACCAATAAAACAAATCAAATCTAATATGTAAAAAAAATTAACACGTAAAGACTATAATTAAAGGATTAAAAATTAACAATAAAAACATGAAAAACCCTCTATGTTAGCTTATCATACATGTAGGGATGGTAATGAGTTTTATATCTATTGAGCCCTGTAAAACATATTCATGACGGGTTAGATAAATACTTATTGAATTTAGATCAGATTATGAAAAAATACCCTTAAAAAATTTGTCGTATATGATTATGTGAAAGGACATTAAAGTACTCATATCCATTCATATATATAATTAAAATTAAAGTTTTAAATAAATGATTGTGTTATAATTTTGTATATATACTACCTTATACTCTATTTATAATAAACAAATACTTAATTTATCAATACTAATAAAAAGTATTATATATTATAAATTTATACTTTATTATGAAATTATCTATAATATTAAATGGTCAAATTAATATCTTATGTATTAAATAAATGAATATATCTATTTATATAGATAATAAATGAGTGTTTTGTTAACATAAATTTCACAATAAATAAAGATGTAAAAAGAATTTATCAGCTAGTGCATATAAAAATAATTCTTTGTTTCCTATAATTGAAATAAAAAATAAATAGTTATTTCTTTTAAATAAGACAACGAGTGATTTTATATTGTAATTTGATATTTTATGATATTTTATTTAACTTCAAATGAATGATTTATCTGAGTTTTATATTTTATTTGAATATTTTAAAAAATGATCTTTATTTTCAATAACATTCATAATTTATTAGTTTTAAAAATATATTAAGAGAAATTATATTTCAGTTAACTAACTGTAAATAACAAGTTCGAATATGAAGATTTGGATACTCAACAGTTATTAGGATTAAAATTGTACCTAATAGATATTAAGACAGGCATGAATAAATTTTTTCTTCTAAAAATATTAATATAAAAACATATTTTATAATACCTACCCAAATCTCACAATTACCATTTTTATAAAATTTAGTTCATTTAAAATGAATAAATATATAAAATAAAAAATAAACATATATCTATCATTAATTTAAATATTTATTATATATAATTAATTTGAAAATTAAAAATTAAAAATTAATTTTTTTTTCTTTATAAAGAAAAATCCCCTAGAGATCTCAATAAATTTGATGTATCTATCTGGTTTTGTATTCGGTGCAATTTCTGGACTGTATAAGGCTGGCCATTCTCTTGAAGCGCATCCACTAAACAAATATCTCAATAAATATGATGTATCTGATTTCCTACTCAGTGCAATAGTATATAATATTATATGGTATTGTTGATATTCCTATAGCCATTGACAAAAGCAGTTGTTGATATTTTTATAGCCATGTTTACCTATGCAGCCATAATTGCAATATTTTTCTTCTTTTTCTTTCACATCTTTCATAGGAGACAATCTTGCAAATACCCCCTCTTAACAGACTACCCTTTCCTTGGCATGTTACCACAATTCCTTTGCAATTTGTGGCAAATCCATGATTTTGTTGCTGAGGCATTGAAACAACATGGGGGCACTGGTGAGTTCAAAGGACCTTGGTTTGACCAAAATGAACTATATGATCACTAGTGACTTCACCGATGTGCAACACATATTATGCAAGAAGTTTGACAACTATGTGAAGGGACCTGAATTTCGTGAAATTTTTTAACCTTTTGGAGATGGGTTATCCCTGCTGATTCAGATTCATGGAAATACAACAGGTCTTTGTTACATTCTTTGATTAAACAAAAAACAGGTCTTTGTACAACAAGAAGGGGTGGTGGTGGATTTACAAGATGTTTTCAAAAGGTTCGCATTTGATAACATTTGTTACTTAGCCGTGGGACATGATCCTAATTGTCTTTCTATTGATTTCCCACATGTTGCAATTGAGAATGCTTTTAATGAAGCTGAAGAGTCCGCGTTCTATAGACACATAGTGCCAAGTAGTGTTTGGAAGTTGCAAAAATGGCTTCAAATTGGTCAAGAGAAAAAGTTGACAAAAGCTTGTGAAACATTTGATCAATTCTTGTATACATTTATAGCATGCAAGAGAGAAGAGCTAAAAAAGTACAATGAAAATTATGAAATGGGTGAAGCAAACTTTGACTTGCTCACATCTTTGATGAGAGAAGAGAGGGGACTAATGCATGATGACGAGTTTCTAAGAGATACTATGTTTACCTTTTTTGTGGGCGGGAGAGGAGCCATAACTTCAGCTCTAACTTGGTTCTTTTGGCTTGTTGCTACAAACCCTTTAGTGGAAGCAAAGATTCTTGAAGAGATCAAAGAAAAATTTAATGGGAAAGTAGATAAGCTAGTTTATCTACATGGTGCTATAAATGAAGCTTTGAACGCAAACAAGCAATTGAAGTTTATGTTCTTCCTAGTGGTCAGCCTATTAATCTTAATGAAGTGATACTATTTTCATTTTATGCAATGGGGAGATTAGAAGAAATATGGGGAAAAGATTGCTTGGACTTCAAGCCAGAAAGATGGATCTCAAAGAATGGAGGCATTGTTTATTTGCCATCTTACAAATTCATTGCTTTTAATTCAGGTCCTAGAACTTGCTTAGGCAAAGACTTGTCCTTCATTCAATTGAAGATGGTGGCAGCTACTATTTTGCGCCACTATTGTGTCCAAGTGGTGGAAGGTCATCATGCTACTCCAAGCCTTTCTATTGTACTTCTTATGAAGGATGGTTTGAAGGTTAGAATAACAAAAAGAAAAGTTTTATGGAAAATTTTCATTTTCACTTGTAGAAATTAATTATTGTGTTCATGGAAGCATGTTTGTTAGGTATAGAAATACTAGTAACACATTCTTTAATATTTGTTAAAATTTATTTAAAATTATAAAAATATGAAAAAATATTAAATTAATAGTAAAAAAGAATGTGAATCACATAATTTTTATAATTTTCAATAAATTTTAATTGATAACAAAATATGTATTAAAAAATGTGTTGTTAAAATTTTTATTGTTTAAGAATTTAATAATGTGTTACAATAAGATGCCTTTGTGTTACAAGAATGTCATTAAAACTCTGTAAATTTTTTTAATGTGTAGTAAAACGCATTTGAATTGAGAAA